TTGCACTCAAAACACATCACTAACTGGATCTCCATGTGGTATATCTATTACCATAAAATACTCTGCTGCTCCCCACTGAAAGCTCACTATCCTCCTCTGCCCTCCGCTCTCCCTCACACACACATCAGCCCCCAACACCACCCATACTCCACCACCCCCACCCCCCACCCCACCCCACCACCCCAGCCCCTCCATGAAAACCGCTTACGCTGGCAGTTCTGAATTGGGTTAAGTCCAAGTTTAACATTAGTGGGGGCGGTTGGGTGTTTAAAAGCAGCCTGCGGAGAGCTGCAAGAGTGATCACAGCCATGACTTAAGCTCCAGTAAAAGAAAAAAAAAAAAAAACTCTGCACACTCCTTATTGCTTTGTTGTGAGAATGATGGTCTTTTTTTTTTTTTCTTTTCTTTTTAAACCACAAATTGAGAAATCAGTAGGCTAATGCAATGCAGACGTGCAGATTTTATGTTTGAGGAGGAAGCTTAACTTGTCTATGGGCAATTTACATCGACGTTGCCAAGGACAACATTAGTTACCTTAGGATTATTAATTTCTGCGTGATGTTCCTGCAGAGAGCAGTCATTTATCACCCGTACTGCAGGGACTCGTCTTACCAAGGAGCCTCGTTTTTCCCTCTGACTTTGTGCAGTATAGCCACAGTGTGCTGCCACTACCAGGAAATGGAGATATTTTGGGGCTCAGCTCTCTTTTATTTGGATTTTGTCCTCATCCCTTGTTCTGGGGAAATGCTGACAAATCTCATTCTTGGTGCCAGATTCTGAGTAAAACCCTGTCATTGTTTAAGGCCAACAAAAGAGTGGTTCATTTAGAGTCAATTTATTATGATTTCTTCTTTGTGTCAACAAATAGTAACACTGGCTTGGCAAATTGCTTCACAGCAAATACAAAACCAAACCTTGGCTCTCTTGTATATGTGTGTGTGTGTGTGTGTGTGTGTGTGCGTGCGCGTGTGCGTGTGCGTGTGTGTGAGAGAGAGAGAGAGAGAGGGAGAGAGAATTCTATTATTACAAAGAAAATCTTGATATATGTTAACATGACAACTAAGAAATGTGCCCATGACTTTTTTTGTGCAGTTCATTAGGTTCAGAAAAGGTTAAAGTATTTTTCCACATGGCATCCTACTGAAGTATCCAAACCACAGCTGCATGGGGGCACCACTTGTAAAATCATGGGCTGTGATAACAGGATTAAATGGGTGCAGTGAAGCAAAGGTCACGGACACGAGACCAAAGCTCCTGCAAATTTAAACATGAATTTTGCATGTGTTTATATGAACGTGGAGACTGTTAAAATTTTATTAGATGGCCAACATGGACACGGCCACTGGTGATGATTTTATTTAAGGCGTCTTTTGTTCAGATTATGATTATTAAAGCACAATTACAAAAATGGTGAGAAAAAAACACTGGTCAGAGGTGAAGGTGATTTCAAATGTCTTGTTTTGTTCAAAATGCAAAAACATTTTTCAGTAAGTTGAACCAGCAAATTTTTTGGCATGTTGGCTTTAAAGACAATTCAAACAATGAATTGATTTTTGAGATTAATTTTCTGTCAAACACCTCATCGATTAATTGATTTATCACGTCAGCTCTAGATGACACAGTAAAGTCCTGTTTCCACTGGAGTCCTTAATGAGAGGACAGATGCAGGAGCCCAAGTGATAAAATCAAAAACATTTAATTATAATAAATACATACAAATTATAATAAAGGATGAGAAGCTTAAAGACCCGCTCCACATGTTTTAAGACAAAGATAAAATACTCTAATAATCATTATGGCTAATTTTCTTATTCCACAAAATAGATAAAAAAAATAGATGGATATAAAAACCACTTCTTCTTCCTCATTGAAAAATCCAGAATCTATGAATATTATTGTTCTGCTTATATGTTTTACTTCTGTATTGTTTCAAAGGATTAGCTGCTGGACACTAGATGTCTCCTCCTTCACTGAAAAGTCAATTGTTAGTGTGTGTGTGTGTGTGTGTGTGTGTGTGTGTACGGAAGTTTTCACATTACACTTATATAGGTTTCTTACATGACCACGATTGGCACCTGAAAACTGAGATTTAAAAGTGAGCACAGAACAGCTTTCCTCCTACAGCAGACGAATGTGAAAACAGCCTTTCAGTGTGAAACTCTGCACACGATCTCTGCACGGTGAAGCACAAACATCCAACTGAACTAACAATAAGCAGAACACATTTCTCACTGGAGGGAAAAAGTTAAATTGTATTGGTTGCCTATTATTTTAATGTGCAAAGGTAACTTTTTCCCAGTTCCTGGCACCACAGAACCAAAAGGAACAAGCACCAGTGTTGGACTTAAACCTCAGCAAGCCCAAGTTGTCAACACCAGCTCTGGTGTGCATGAGTTCCTCCATCCCTACGAAGGTGGTCTTGAAGATACTCGGGGGGGCTCCACTGACCACACTGAGTTAAGACTCTGTCGGCATTGCTTGAATGTGCCCTTGGGCTCAAATTCACCACAACCCTGACTGCTTCATGTGAGAGATCTGTAGTTCATCTTTAAGTGTTTCACCAAGAACAGACGTGGCCTTGCACTTCTGACCAACACAGGAAGGTCAAAGTGTTGTGCTGGGCTGAGCCTTTACTGTTCATCTGCAGCTACTCCTCACATTCAACACAAGCCCACTGTTCTATATAAATGAAATGCATTTCTTAACAGCGATGCCATTTCCAGGAGGAACAGAGTCATAATTCAGGTGAGCACGTTCTATATAACTTCCTTAAACATGTATTAACACACCAGCCCTCCCTCCTACTCTCAAACTCACTCAGAAATAGACCTGTCATCTTGCCACCATCCCCTTATCGTCTAACTGCTAACAAGCCTGTTTGCCTGTGACTGACGTTGATGTGATCCCTAAAGCCCCGGGCTTGGCACCAGATCGCTCCTAAGCCAAATTAAGCCTCTGTCATGCCCACCCCCACCTCCAGCCTAGTGCTACCCCTGCCATGGGAACCCTAAATCTTTAATGACGACGGAGAGCTCTGCACGCTCCCACGACACAAAAGCGATGACATCTGTCTCTGTAAGTGCTGCACTCCAGAGCAACCCCATTTGTTCTATCTCCGCTTCTTGAAAAGAAATCAAATATAAAAGTTGAGGGAGGGTGGAGGCTGCTAAAAGAGGAAGGAGGAGGTGGAGCTCAGGAGGTTAAAACAAAGATCCTTTCTTTCAAAGGTTTATTCCCCTGCCCACTGGTCCCTAAATGTTCAAAGAAGGTGTTAAAAGAGTCTCAGCTCGCCGTCGTGCTCTGGTGCCCTGGCTACGGCCCACCTGCTCACAACTACTTCCAAGTCGACGAGGATGGTGAGTGAAAAACATGCCTCCAACCACTGAATCTAACTCCTGGAAGCCAAAGCCACTGACAGCACCTCTCAAAAGGTGATTCATTTACCAGGCCGAAAAACCTTCTGACCTTTGACCACCACAAAAACCCCATACAGCAAACCGAAGAAAAAGTATTTCTGATGAAATAACATATAATAAAAATGTCTGAAACTAGTAACTGCTACAGCACACCACAAGGAGGAAGACAATTCATTCAGTTATACTAAAACAGTGTAAGCTGTGGCCCTCCTCTGACCACCTTAAAACCAGATTGATTATTGATTAATCCAAGTCTTTTTTTTTTTTTTTTTCAATTAATCATTGGTTGATGAAATGTCACAAAATAGTGACAATGATGGTGCAATTCCCCAGACACCAAATGCATTGTCTCTGAAATAGCTTGTTTCTTTGAACCAACAGCATAAAAACATTACATTTTCAATTAAAACATAGAAAAGTAGTAAATACTCACATGGGAGACGCTGGAAATGGAGGATGTTTGGTACTTTTGGTTAAAATATAAATAAATCTAAACAATATGTCAGTTATTAACATTTTTGTCAAATCATTTTCTGTCGATCAACTAATCGATCACAAACATTCGCGGGTTCAGCACAACTTCCCCTTCTATTTCTTCTTCGTTTAAGTTTATAGGCGGTTTGCGAACAGCGAATTGGCGCATTACCGCCACCAACTGGAACGGAGTGTGTATCGGGATTAAAAAGCCTGTTCATATTCCAAAATTAATTAATTAAAAATAAAAATAAAAACTCATATCCTTTCAATCAGTTTTGTTATTTTAGGATACTGGAATAAGATTTAATAGCATCCCCGTGACTTCTATTGCTGTACATCTATTACATCAAATTTTATGTTTTATCTTTCTCAAATTTTGAATCATATTTGATATTTTTCGTAATGAACCATAACATGCTCCATTGTTTCCTCTTATCCACAGTATTCACATTTGTCAGTATTGCGTTGAGCACAACTTCCCACTTTTTGAATAAGTTTTTAATTCCAGGCTGTTTTGTCTACCGTAATGCCTTTCATGCTTCATGGTCAGGCACTTTGAATTGCCTCTTTGAAATTAAATGTGCTGTATATTTAAAATACCTTGCGTTTCCTGGTAAGCATTGTAGTGATTTCACCTGGTCAAAGAAGCTTTTCAAATTACACCACTGGCAGAAAATCTGGAAGATTCGTCTTGTCGTTGTGAACAGGCACTGCGGTGGTCGCCTATGATTCCACTCCGGGTCCTTCTTGTTGATGAAGAAAGATGGCGGCGTCCATCCTGTCCAGGAGGGCAGCAGTGTTTTGTAGGACTTTTAAGGGAATTTCATCTTCTAAACCTACGAATTCTCAGTGTGGACTGTTGTTGCAGACAGCGTCCTACAACCCCAGACCCCTGAAGCTAAACCTCCGTGAGAAATATATTCCAGACAAAGACGACCGGGAGACGCCGGAATGGCAGAAGACGGCCCGGTACGACAAGAAGCTCTTCGGTCGCTACGGAACGGCGTCGGGCATCGACCCCGCGTCGCTATGGCCCAGCCACGAGCAGCTGGACAAGATCATCGCAGAGGAGAATGAGTGGCACCCTCCGTTAGAAGTGATGCTGAAGAACATAAAGATCAAGGAGAAGGAAGAAACCAGAAAAAGACTGGCAAAGTAAGTCATGCTAACGTGGCTAACGTCAGTGCGTCAATTATCGGACAGCGAGGCTAGTTAAGCTGCGCACTCTTTACTCTGATTCCTGTTCAGTCTGATTTTATTTCTGTCAATGACTCGTTTATAACAGTACTTCAGAACACTTGAAGACGCTCCCTGACATAAACCACAACCTAGACGCACTTTATGCCTCTTATATGTTAGCATTACATTTGAGTCACTAGAAAATACCACGATTCCACAAGGTAGTTTAACAGCACTTTTATTTCCAAAATCGTCAAAGATCTTCTCACCATTTGAATGAAAAAATAACTCATCTGACTTAAAGATTATTCACTGCAAAACATTTTACACAGGCTAATACAAAATGGTCCCATATCTCACAAACACTGTTACCACTACAACAGCACAAAGTAATTACAAGGTTAAGTTCTATTGAGGATAAAATCAGGACATTTTGTCTAATCTGTGTGTGAAGTGTCGCTGTCATCACTACCCTCTGGGAAAGAAATAGAAAAACTATAGCTATCCACAATCAATTTAACATCTACAGGTTCAGTGTTACCTCCACCCATTTTAAAACTATTTTAAAACACTGTAAAAATGCATTAGTTTACAGGCATTGACAGATGTGATGAAATATGAAGCAATTACTTCTAGTAAATAAACACAAGGATTGTCACCAGTTAAATGGAGCTGTCCCTGTTTATGAGGCAGTTTTTCTTTTTGGGGGGGGGGGGCAATATGCACGGACCATTCTTGCAGCATATTCTGTGTTTGTTGTCTTTAATATTGCACAATTATTTCTTATCTCCATTTTGAACATTAACATTTTCTTATTTTTTACAAATAAAATCTATGAACCCATGAGTCCTTAATAAAGATGGCACCCAATTTATGGCCTGAATTCAAACCCGGCCTGATGTACTAAGAGCCTAAGTGGTTTGCGTTCTACCAGGTGAGCCCCCAAGATGACAAAGCATTCAGTGCCAGCCATACTAAGAAGTTAAAATGTTCCTGGTTGTAATGCTAACGTGCCGATGTATATCAAGTATCTTGTTTACCTTGTCCATCTTTGTTTAGCAGGTTAGCATGTTAACATTTGCTGACATGCAAATGAGCACTAAACACACAGTACAGCTGAGGCTGAGTACTTGACAAATTCTAAGTTTGACCTGATGGTGGCACTAGATGAAAAATGAAAGGAGTGGTTATTACAGTTAATCCTGAGGGGAACATAAATGTCGGATCCAGATTTCAGAGCAATCCATCCAATAGTTGTTTAAATATTTCACCCAAAACCAGAGTGGTGGACTGCCCATCACACAACTATGCATCCAGCACCGCATCAACATCTGTTATACTCATCTTTTCTATTTCCACCGCAGAGAGAAGCTCATAGCAGCAAACATGGCCAAAATGCCCAAGATGATCGCTGACTGGCGCAGAGAAAAGCGTGAATCCAAACTGAAGCAAAAGGAGGAGAAGGCTCGCCGTGATATGTTGCTGTCTCAGGCCAGAGAGCGTTTTGGCTACGCAGTGGACCCCCGCAGCCCCAAGTTCTTGGAAATGGTTGCTGAGATAGAAAAGGAAGAGAAGAAGAGGAGGAAACTAGTGAAACGCAGACTGAAAGAAGAGCAGGTGGCAGCTCCTCTCACGCCGCCTGCTGACTCCTCATAGTCTTGAAATAAGCGTTGGGCCCTTGGTCTAACTGTGTTTAATAATGGAGAGTGTACTACACAACACGGTTCAGTGGGACAGTTGTATCTGAACAGAATCTGAAGAACAGTTTGCTCCTTGTTTTGTGTCACCTGGATCAAAGAAAAAGTTTATCCAGTTATTTGCCCTATTTGTTTTGCATATTTGGAAAAACTTCATGACCTATGTGTTTAGCTGTCACTGAAATAAATTAATCTCTGAGCAGATTGCATCTTGTCTAACATATTTTTAAAGGAAGAAAAAAATTACTGCAAGACAGACTGATGCTGATTTTTGGTTTAAGACAAAACATTCATATGTAGGATTTATTTGTGCAAAAATAACTTTTAGACATTTGAAAGTTTTTGGAAAGTACACGCACCGATCCAGATACGTCCAAACACTGAATTTTAATTAATTCAAACACACCGAGATGGTGAGAGTTAAGAACAGCAGCAGTTTCACCTGTTTATCCGTGTCATGCTTCCATCAATTTCCTCTGCAAGTGAACAGGCCGGGACAGATGCAGTGACAATGTGTTTGTCAGGGAGCACAGAATACTGGCTGCGACTGTGCGTCATAAAATTATCCAAGCCCGTTAACTAATAACTAAATTACGTTTTAAAACAATTTTGCATAAAATGTTTGTGCAGCTGTGTGTGAAATACCATGAACACATCAAAAAAAAAATCTTCCTAACATGTTAGAGCACAGTATGCTTAAGTTACGCAGTTTGGTGATAATCATATAGAGCTCTTACTATACAGCAAAATAAAGTCATTACAATACCTTTCATTAAGTCAAAATTTATTACATTTACTATTTATAGTGATATCAATCAGCTGTTGATTAAGATTTTGTGTAGTTTAATATTCGATGTAAACGATAAAAACATCCATAAAATAAAACATCTACTCTATATACACTCGAGTCTGTGTTAACCTACGGAAGACAGTGAAATTCAACGTCCCTCAACTTGAAATTTCAACTTGCCACGTTCAATTCTCTTTGAAGTCTTTCTGTGGACAGGACCGCTCTTGTAAATAATCAGGTTATACCTTTGTCCAGTGAGGTGTTGTCGCAAACTGTGATGCAAAAATACCTGAAAAGGTATCCCAGCACAAAGATAAAACACTCAGTATTCACTGGTTGAAAAAATGCATAGAGGTTAAAAAAAAAAAACTGGGTATCAAGTTAAAAACAGTCAACAGTGTGAGGGAAATGGAGGGTCCACTGTGAAGAGCCTCTGCAGTCAGGAAGAAAGGTCTTTTTTTACAGATGAGTGTCCTCATCTTCACCAGGGTCAGCCTTCAGTTTGGCCAGAGCGGCGTGCACCCTGAACTGCGTACGAGACTCCATCGAGTAATCCTTGTAGTTTTGTCTAGGAGGTAAAACAGCACACACGGTTAGACAGTGGGTAATTTACTTTGCACATGCTGTGCTCTTGTTCCGCCCAGACAAGCAACAATGACACCTTCCATGTAAAGTTGATAACATATCATTACCCCAGTGAGTGGATAATGTTGAGGACGGTCTACGTAGACCTACATTAACAGGCAAATGGCGACCTCTAGTGTTCCTGCATGCAGCACATTTCCTGTCCAACTGACTTGGAAAGTGTTGGGTCCATTCTCAGCTTGACAAGTGGATGCAAAAATGTGCAGTGGTGTGAGGTACAAACTGTGGTCTAGTTCAGTTAGAAGGCGGCTGGATAAGAGCTTAGATTTCTGCTAACATCACCAAAATCCTCTGTAAATAAAAGGTCTGTACAGAACCTGAAGGGTAATGTTTAATCATTTGCACACAGTAATAACTACATTAGTGTTTTTCATTACTAAACAGAACTTTTCCCCTCATAATAATCTATGCAGATGATTCGCTCCCCTAAATGCTGCATGTGTAAGTTATGCAAGCTGCAGAAAACACAGCATCTCTGTGTTAAATGCACATATTCTATAGGTACAAGAGTTAAAATAACATGTTTTACTTGGTCATATAACTGGAACTATGTGGCAGGATTTCACCGTTTCTCTGATGGTGCATGCAGCAATGAAGCTGCTGTAAAGGAATCACTTACTTGGCCTTCTGCAGCAGTTTAATAGCCTCGTCCCTTCTGCCTTGGTCTATGTAGAGCAGACTGAGCTCCACCAGGGAGTTGGGCACCAGGTAGTGGTCAAACTTGATCTTCTTTTCACTGAAAACACACAGACAGGAGGTGAATTATGTAATTACGTTGCTGTCACTTACAGTCTCATTTTACACATATTTAAAGTCAGGACCTTGGTACTGTACTGCACACGACATCCTCAGTAATGCTGCTGAACAGCTGTGATTTGTTTTTCTGTGCAGGTCGACTGACTTCACTCTTGAGATGAATGAGGAAACAAATGTTTCTCACAAGACCTGTTTGAAAGTTTCCTCAGTCATAAGTGTGTTGTCGTGATTTCAACAAGGAGTGATCCCATTCATGACTGCATTACAAACGTTCACTGTGTGACTTGGAAGGTAAGTTGAGAGGATTCTGTGACTACCAGTACATCCGCTCAAGAGCTGCCCTTAGACAGACATTAGGAAAGAAAACTTTTTCGGATGATTTTGGAACTGTTTATGTTTTTATTGGTACTCTGTGAATGATGGAGGGAAATTTTGAAAAGTTTAGGAGTTTTCTGGCCAAATTCAACAAGACAAATCCAAGCTCACAAAAAAAAGCAATTAACTTTTCACATGCAGTGCAAAGACCGGTGATTCTCCATTCACAGAGAATTCATGGATTTCTAGGAGGATGGTTTCCGTGTGAGCAGGTAACAAAAAACGAATCCACTGCAGCTCACCTGGAACACACTTTGTTGAAGCACTCCTCAGCAGCCTGGAGTAAACCCTGGTTCTTCAAACAGAGACCCTTCAGAAGGTGGATCACACAGCGGTCGTCCACCGAATACTCGTTCTCTGTAGAAGACAGAGCACACACCTTCAACCTTGTAAAAAAGGTGGGTGGGGGTGGGGGGGGGGTGTTTCCTGGTTTGGGATGTGCTCTATTACCAGGAGCCTCCAGCAGGGAGCGCTCTGCCTCCACCAAAGTCTGCATCATGCCTTCAGTCAGCTCTGGTCGTTTGCTGATCATACTGAAACCATTCCACATGTACATCATCTCCTGTGATGAAAAAGATATATATATATATATTGGACGGCTCTGTGAGTCAAACATACAGCCCGTTGTGTGTGTTTTTTGTGTGTGAAGCTTTACCAGCACTGGTACTGGCAGCTTGACTGGGCGTTGAGCCTTGTAGCGTCTGGCTTTACGAATAGCAAACTTCTCAGTCGGAGGAGACTTCCCTGCTATCTTCTGCTTGAAGGTTGGCACTTGTCTAAAAGACACAGGAAAATAATAAAGGTAAATTTGGAAAGAAAGCACGAGGTCTGAATTAGTGAGACAGCGCACAAAACTTTGGATGTATTTGCTTTTATACCTGCGTTTATTTACCAAGTGGTAAGCTTTTATAGGGGCCATTTGAATCACCCAGGTGGAGGTGATTGTCACTTGACAAGAGCTTTGGTCATCGTTGCATTTACAAGGCAAGAGGTTATAAAACTCCCTCTGAGCAGCGCTACGTCTTCAGGGCAGATTAGAGGCTACAGTGAGTTACTATCAGAAAGTGACTAGACGGGCCGGAGCTAGCTTGTTAGCATGCTAGCATGCTCAGTAGAGGTAAAGACATGATAGAGTTAATATTGGTGTTGCTTTCCACCTCTGGAGACAGCTGTTGGTGAGTAAAAGAATGAAGCTTGATGCTGAACTCACAATGTTTCTTCTAGACTAGTTAGTAAACAGCTGTTAATGCTAATGCTAACTTACAAATTGCTCCTTTAATACAAAAGTGACGCATTGTCACCTCATGTAGAACATGTCGGAGTAAGGTCAGTAGCAGACTCTGAACAGGAGAAGCAATTTTACTGCCATGATCTCAAAGTTAAAGTGCCCCTCAACTCAGAAATGACTTTGCGTAGTGTTACTTCAACTGGATGTTTGACAGAATGATGTATATGAGGTGTTTCAATGCATTTCATCCTCTGCTGGAGGGGAAAGTTTCTCTGTGCTCACCTTAAATCTGAGTTTAATACGTGGACACACACATACATTATGTCACTGTGTGACATCCCAACTAGTTTGGAAGCCAATCACCAACAAAACTTTTTTATTTATTTTAAAGGACTCAGAAAATGTCTGGAGGTGACCTTTAATGTTTTACATAGTAACCTCCTCAAGTGTTTATGTTGTGCAAAACTGTAACTCTCCCAGAAGACATTGCAGCTTTGGTCAGGGAGGACTTAGGCCTGATCCACCCCTTGCGTATACACTTTATAATCCTGAGTGTTCTCACAAAGTTCAAACACAATTACCGTCTGTGAACAATGCCATTTGCGTAGCAGCTGTTTGTCTACATATACAGATTGGTAAAAAAAAGTAAATATGCAATGAGCATAAGGACAATAGCAGTCTGTTGCTAAGACACAACATGAAAAAATGACGGCGTATTTACCTGAAGAGTTGTACCTCGTCCTCCCCAAACGGCCTGGCCTCATCCTTAGGCAGCATACTGAGGTAAGCAGCTTTCATGTACACATACATGGCCTAACAGAGACAAGCAAACAGACAGCATTCACGCTTTTTGTTCCTCAAGATGTTTGACAGGATTTAAAAAAAAAAAAAACAAAAGGAGAAACTTCGCAGTTCATCTTCACAGTGGTGTACCTTGGACCAGCGGCTCTCCTGGCTCAGCAGGTCTGCGTAGAAGTAGGCCATCTTCCACGCTCGTTTGTAGGTGAAGCACCACATCAGCTCCCAGTAGCACATGTGGTGGAACTGCTTCCACGCCTGCTGGGCCTTGCAGCCATCTTCAAAGAGCGCCACCGCCTGGGAGCATCAGTGAAATGACACCGTACAGCAAAATAATGATGTTTGACATTTGAGGAATGTCCCGTGTTAGATATTAACATTCGCGCTGGTCCTTTGCAGCTCACTGGCTAAAACATAGCAATAATGTTACCATAGTAACAAGGTGCTATTACTTGCTATTATGTAAAGTGTGTGAGAACATAATACTGCATTAAAAACAAATGTACAGGTAATGAAACACCTAGTCATCATCATTTCCAGCCATTTTCCTAAACACACCTCATCAATGTTTCCTTTGATCTCCTCAGTCCTGCCTGCAAAGAAGAGGAATATCGCTCCCTGGACAAAAGAGAAACAAAGTACAATTCATAACATTTTATTTCAGCCTCTAATGTTTCAGTATTACAGCTGACTGTCAGCTTATTGCATTAGATTCTCATCTTTCTTCTAGAAGACCTACTGTCCAACAATTACTCTCGTCAGTGTTTAACCAAGACACTTGTATTTTGGGTTTGGTACACACTGTGTCAGAGCTTTGAGTTTGCTCTCTGGGAAGGGCTGGCATGTAGGTAAAAGGTGGAGTAGAAAACGGGGATTGTGAAGTTACAGGAGTGTCAAGCGGAGTGATAGCACGGAGGCGTGCGAGTACACATAAATGAAGGACGGATGGCGTCAGGATCCAGGGAGCACGAGGGACTGCGTGAGTGGAAGGTGGAGTGAGTGTCAGAGGAAAGAAATCAGGGTGTGGGAGAATCTACGCGTGTGACTACATGAGGAATAAAAGAAGGAATAAAAGAAAAGAGATGCAATGTGAGTGGAGGGAGGGATGTGTGAGAAAGTGCTGACACAGAGTAAGACGCAAGAAGGTGTAAAAATAGAAAGACTGACAGAACAATGAAGAAGTTTAGGCGGCGGTCGGAGAAAAGAGAACAAAAGTTTGAATGAGGAACTACGAAGCACCAACACAAAGAACAAGATGTAATCCTAACATCACAAACCACAGCCTGAATTCATTAACAATAAAAGGATCATTTAAACCAAGTTTATCTCAACCTGGATCTTGTTTTTGTAGTTTTGGCCTCATTTCTAACAATTATGACAGAATTCTTCTCACTTTTCATTCAGATTTCTGAGATGATTGACTGTTAAATATAAGTAGAAATAGGCCAGAAATAGAACAGTTAGATGACAGGTTGTTAATCAGATGATCTAAATCACTTTAAAACCCCTTCCCTGCACAAGAAAACAATCGCTACGGCAAGCACAGTGGGTCAGTGTTTAATCAGAAAGTTACCCCCTCTGACTTTTCAAGATCTCAGAAATGACTTTAGTAAATAAAGTAAAAAAAACCCCAAACCAAAACCGCTCCTTACATTCAAAGCTTAAACGTCTGTGAAGCCACAATTGCACGAGAACGCCACACACCCCTGATGTGTGTTAACACCTTCATTACCAGACAGAAAGTCCCAAGCTTTTCATACAAAGTGATTTTGGATTTTTCTTGTTTCTACTCACCCGCGGGTAACGAAGCCGGAAAGGTTTGAGCAGACTTTCAGCCTCAGCCACCTCGCCCTCCCCTGTCCCTGTGGAGGATAAGAACAAAGACATATACGATATGATATATGAAATGATATACGATATGATAATATTATTTGAATCTCGGGACGCATGTAATGTATGGATGCGGTACAGCACTACCTAGTATGAAGGTGAGGAAGGTGTAGTAGCAGAGCAGGAGCAGAGCACACAGCATGGAGCGCAGATTCATCCCTGTGGCACCGTCACGCAGCAGGGACAGACCATATTCCTACACCAGGACCACACATGTAGAAAACGTGCATGAGTGCATCGCGTACATGAACTGATACGCACACGGGTGAGTTGTTCGTTTTAATGAGTGAGAACATAATGAAGGCACATCACACCTTGTCTCCTGAAAAGCCTGCGAACTCCAAAACTCTGAGTATCCGCGGGGGGAATAGAGAGAGCGTCTGTGGAGAAAGAAGAACCGATGAACTCTGTGGTTCAAACGCACGACACGTCGTCAACCTGCAGCGTTTAAAGATACTTCAGTGACATACCAGATTAAACGCCCCTATTCCAAATGATATCCCTCCCTCTAAGTGACTGTGGCTGGGTCCTTTGAGACAGTTGTGAGATTTTATGAAGGAATGCAGGTCTCTGGATGAAAAAAGGGAATTATGTTATACACACCACAGCTCAGTATAGAAACCCAATACTGACATTCACTAAACATAAGGCCTGTTTTCTCTTTGTTTACTTACTTGTAAATCAGGTAACTGTTTCGTACTTTGATCCCTCCTTTGATAAAACTCACCATGTTCTCATCCTGTGAAAAGTAAAATAAAACTAAATAATGCCAAAAATCCCGCATGCAGTCATTTGAGTTAGATTTTGATTTAATGTAGTTGAAGTGCTACAAATCTAAGTTCCACTTTCATGCCATTTATTTAATTGACATTTCTTGAAAACACTTTGTTTCTGTGTCTTAAAAGGTGGAGTGTTTTACTGCACCTGTAAGAAGGTGAGAGCAGCTCTTTGGAGTTGGCACTCTGCATAACACACTTCAGCATGAAGCTGCACTGCAAAAACACATCCATACACACACATACACACACACACACACACATGAATAAATAACATACAATAATCAATGGTCAAGGAGCAATAAAGCATAAAATCCAGCTGTTGCTATGGGTTTAATCTACAGGACAGGAGCTTCCAGACTTGACCTTCCACTCTTCTACCTGACTTCATCACTTTTGAGGAGTAGATTAAGAAGAAAAATCAGTTTCTTCCTGAATTTGCACATACAGATTCTACTGGATCTTCCTCTTACATTTGTAAAAGTCAACCCGATAGATTTATTCGGCACCACTACAGCTGTGGAAACAGTTTCCTTCTCCATGGAAAGAAGACAATTCTGTCTGGGTGCATTAATCCACTGGACGACTCTTCTTCATTTCAATGGTCTAGCTTTTCCCACCATCACTAATATGCTAACAATGCTTAAGAATCTTTTTTAGCCACACAGGCAGCATGGCTCAAGGGACGATCATATCACTCTGTCAGCCAACTGCTTTGGTTCAGACTGCAATAGCTCAACAACTATTGGCTGGATTACCACGACATTTTCCACAGACATATTATGTTTAATCCTCTGACTTTTCCTCTACTGCCGACATACGGTTTACATTTGTGGTTTTGAGTGAAATAGTTAAATAACTGTTTAATGCATTGTCATAAAATTTGGCAGAGACATACTTGTTCCCCTGAGGATGAATGATAATCCTCTGGCACCATCATCAGTTTGAAATTTGTCCAGTACTCTGGTTTTAATGATCAAACATATGCAAAGCTAATGACATTCCCATCAGCCTCTGCTGTACTCTATGGTCAGTGCCAGTTAGCAAATGACTGCATGCTAGGATGCTAAGACGCTAAACTGAGATGGTGAACAAAGAAAACATTATACCTGCTTGTGAGCAGCATTGTGAGCATGTTAGCATGCTGATGCTAGTTACTATCATAAAGCACCACAGTCAAGCTGATGTCTCTGTTGACAGTTACAAGTACAATAACAAACAGCAGGGGTGCAGAGGGTGCAGGGGATGCGGGGGGTGCAGGTGGGGAGATCTTCAAGCCTTTTACCTTCAGTAAGTGATTCCGACTTGTTGGCCAAACCTGGGGATTTCTGTCGAAACCTGAAACAGCAAACAACATTTCTATTCCTGTGACTGTAACCGCATCTTTTCTGACACAACACTCATCCGTGAATTACATGTGTCCAATTCTGCTATCTCTACAGCCACTTTATTGTTGCTTCTCTCATAAAGACGCAGTCAAATCAGTAGAGACGAGCCATGTAAATGCACTCATGTAAATTTGCCTCTTACAGCTGAGGTGTTTAAAAAGATGTGGAGACTTAATTACAGTCTATGAAATGGCTGAAATGATCGTCTGCTTTTAGACCGAAGCTGGTGAAAATGATCCACAGCCTACAATGACGGGACGTCCTGACCTCTGACAGACCTCCTGGGCACTCTTCATGGTATTTCCTGCGTTGCTGATGTCATCGTGCTGGAACGTCATCATGGCCTGCATTTCCAGCACAGTGGCGTAGATAAGAGCATGGTACATACTCTCATTCACCCTACACAGAAAACATGGGAGTCGCAGGATCAACATCACACGCATCACACCGTGAGCAAACAGAGGTAATGTTAGGAGGACAGCTACTGTGTGACCTGCGCATTTTCCTGTTGAGAAAAGATAAGAGTAAATATCTTCCTCTCTTTATTCTTCCTATCTGCTCCACCATCCCAATCCGTCTTGTGCATCGTGTTTATTTTGCAGGGCTGCCATTCTCCTGGCTATTCGGTCACTCAAACCTTGGGCGTCAGCCTCAGCAAACACTTCATATCCTGGAGAACTGAAGCCTGCCAGGGCCACCCTCAAGTCTTGGCAGACAGGAAACGCACTACTTCACAGTTCATACCGAAGAAGTTTCTTAACATCAGCAGAGGCCGAATACTGCTGAGATCATACTAAAGGCATAGCCTGCCCCTGTGAAGAGAACAGTACCAGCTGCTTCAAACCTCTGTAGAGACAAACATGACTCAGGATTATTCTGTTACCTTGGCCGCAGCCTCTCCAGGCTCTCGCTGAAGTGGTTGTTAAGGAAGAGATCCAAGGCCTCCACACATTCATCCAGACACTCTTTCAGGGTCATCTGTGAGGATCTGCCACACAGTGCAAACAGGGATTTAAAAAGATACACATAACAAATGCAAACTGAGCTGTAACTGAGCTGTGTGTTCTGTGTTCTGTGAGGTTAATGTTAATGTTTACTCAATGATTAGTATGCATTTGAGTTTTTAAGTATTTTTTATGAAACGCAGACTATATCATCGAAAATTAAGATTTATCAATTAAGCATCAGCAGTTTTGTTTCCGGAGAGTCTGATGGGAACTGGAAAACCCCCTCCGTCATCATCAGTCACTGAAAGCATGCAAAACTACACTAGACTCCTTCCTGATGCAGTAAACCCCCCTGCAGCTGCGACTATAATTCACTTGCCACTCTCATGACAAAGCTCGATCTATCATTGGCAGACAACGAGAAAACACCAGATGCGGTTCATTATCATTTCCTGCTGCAGGTGAACAAGTTTTTTTTTTTTTTTTTAATTTCCTGCTACATTTTTTTTTTTTCCTTTTGCCGAGCTCAACATGATCTCACCAGCTGATCCAGAGAGCAAATATAAACCGGTTACCCGACCACCAGGATATCAACACAACGTCTGCCTTGTGGTGGGAGAAGTCTTGACTTGTAGCGTCTCTGTGAATTCTCAGTTGCGTGTACTCACTTAACTGAAGCATTTGCGTCTTTCCCATTGGACATGTTCGCTCTCCGGGCGGCGTGCCCCCCAACACCTGTTAGGTTAGGAGCTCAGAGGTAGTCGCAGGAGATCAAGACGCGTCCAGGATTCACACCGTAAAACTAAGCACTCAAACTAGACCGGTGACATCGAAGCTGGCATTAGGTAATAAAGATTCGCCTGTTGTTTAAACTCGGGTAAAGTGCTTGGAAGGAGCAGAGGTAGACGCGTGCGTTCGTATGTGTGGATCCAACAGTGTGAGTGTGCGCAATAGAGGCGCACCTGACTCCTCCTCTGTGACACCGCTGCCACGCACACATTACACTGGAAACTCAGAATGAAAGGAACTGAATGAAAGACTGACAACAGCTAAATTAGACCAGGTTGTATCCAACAGCACAACGGGTTTTTTATTTTTTTTTTTATTTTTATATAATATTAAATTTCTTCTGTTTTTCTGCGAGGTAGAAATCAATTGTCAAACTCTGAGATTGAAACGGTTCATTAAATCATCGTAAGGATAATTATGCTGAGTTCAAGTTGACGGAAAACTCGGGAACTTCAGTGCGGGAAACATACACATGACATCATCAGCTCTGAAAACCAACTTGGATGCCCGCGGTAACATTATCACATCAGTAGTCAATCATGTTAATATCAATGAAGCTCGAGATGACTAGCGCGCTAATTTCAATGATTACAAAAGTATTTGCAAAAGAAACGTTGGCAAAATCACTAAATATTAAACTTTGTTGAAAGGCGTTAAATAGCATTTGTAATGTTGCTGAGTTTCCCAGCAAAAAATCCGATGTTCATGTGTTTCAAATTATTTTTTTCACAGTTGAAGTGTCTAGTTTCCTACGTGTCCTGAACACAGCAATAATTTAGCATTACACAAGATGACATATGGATGTGAATAATAAGTTTATTAGGATGAAGATCAGTTTTCCTCAAGGGCAGTGGGAAACAAACTGCCAACTAGGCTATTACTTTACTTGAGGCGAGGGGTGTGTGTGTGTGTGTGTGTGTGTGTGTGTGTGTGTCCCAAATAACTGATTAATTCGTTATAAATTATAAATTTATGGGTCAATAGTTGGGTGTCACTCAGCACCTACTCAAAATGTAGATTCACATCTCTCAGTTCACGTGTATTTTTATAGTGCAGACACTTGGGGGCACTACTGTCATTGTATTTGTAGCAGTGTAGTGGAGACTGAGGCTCCTTCATTGGTGCCTCCATCAGTCAAAAGTGACCCAGCAGAGACCCCAGGCTTGTACTATGACGTAGGATTTGAGGTTATCGAGGTAACTTCAGGTTTAACTCTGGGTTTTCAGTCCTACGACACTGCGTGTGCTCTTTCTTTCATTTGTAGAAAAATACAACCACTCGCAACTCGCATGCAAAAGATTAAATACTTTTTCTTTTTCTGCACCAGATGCTTTGAGGATGGAAGACTGTATTGTAATCACGGATTGTGCATTTATGAGAGAACCCTACCGTTTTTAAGAATTCACATTTGTTATTCCTGCACCTCAGAACAGATTGGTGAACATTTGTGAACTTGCTGCACTCTCCTCTAAAGTTAGAAACCAAAGTGAGAAAGGCAGGGCCCACTGGGGGCAAGCTAACTGCCTGGGAGGGACAAAATACAAAATACATTAAACTGGTTTAATTTGCACTTGAACGTGATCATTTTACAGTAAGCTGTTGGCTTCTAGAAACCAGTAATCTTACTCTTATCTGGCCCTTTTCATTTATACCCATTCATTACTGGTTCTTCAATTGTTAATTTATCATTTTTGTGGACAGTTTATTTTTTAAATGCACGTGGAGCTGACTGAGAGATGGTCAGATGAAACAACCCTGTATCGTAGAAATAACGTTCCTATATCAATAAATTCAAGGAGCCAGGGCGAGATACACACACACACACACACACACACACACGCAAACATAAGCAGTGTGTGTGGTTAGAAGCAATTAGCAGATATGATTCATAAAATATAAACATGTTTCCCTTTAGCAGTATTTGCTTTATCACTGTACAGGAGCATTTTTCATCCATTTTTATTGGTTGGTATATTCATCAGTAAAAACTGATCATTTGATAGTTTGATTAAAACTTATTAATTACTTATATATTAACCCACTCACTCCAAGGATCACAAGTGTCCCCGCAGCATGAGGACATTTCCTGCCAGAACTAACTCATGTCAGAAAGCTCACTTATCTAAAAGGTCTATCTAAACAGCATTTGCTCCAAGTTACACATTAACACACATTATTTTTTTTTATCATGCCACCTAAACCAAAATCAATTAGCTTGATCCTAAATTCAAACTTACTGTACAATATGTTTTCTTATCTATGCAAAGTCCTGAAAGTCTTGGTGGAAAATCTGAGCTTGTGTGTTTCGCTTTTAATAGTTTCAGGCAAATGGCACCGAGTGGCACTAATATCCACAACTACAGCACACTTATAATTCAAACTCTTTCAACCTGCATGTGCTTGTGGACAATGCGTTTGTTGTCAGAACTGCTTCCTTGTTAAATTACAATAAAAGAGGAAATACATGAAGGATTTTCAGCTTCTCCATCCCATTAAAAGCTCCTGTAATGTCACACAGCACAAAAACTCACCAGCATCTAGAAACATTTTGCATTTTATTTCAAAATTGATCACCATACAACAAACATAGAAATAACGCATCACTTCCGTTGCTATTTTATAAGCGGCCTTTTGGCAACAACACTCACAATAGTGGTTCCTGTGCCCAACAGACCAGCCTTTGTTTCATTATCACAGTAAACGCAGTTATCACGTAATTCCTCATTGACTGGCCATGTGTCACAGGTAGTAGCACTGCTTGACATTGAAAACAATCTCTGGTTTGTGTAGTCTGTTTTGTAAAGTGTAGTTGTCTTAAGAAATATAGTATATGTTCATATACATCTATATATCTATTAGATAGATTTAAATGTAGTAAAAATAGATGTTATGTCATTCAGTAATTCTGATTGCACAAGATTGGACATTAACCGTCTTTGGTGATGAGGCATTTATGCAAGACAAAGGCACAGCCCTTCACTCCTCTAGAGGAGATACAGGAAGCGGAAAGGCTCCAGTGATTAAAATAATCCTTCTAAGGTCTTCGCAATTTGTAGTTAGGCACTCATTGATTTTACTCTGCAGAAAAGGATCATGGAGACGACCATGGCACATACCTGGGAAGAATATATGCATTAGAAAAATAAAAATTAAAAAAAGAAAAAGACAGAAATGCCATTTTATAATTTCTCTGATGAATTTCAGCCTATTCTTAAATGGGCCCTACAAAAGAAGAGAAGGAGAGATAAGGTCATACCTCCAGAGCTGCAATCCCCAGCGCCACTGCCACAATAACCACCGTGTTGTCGTCGATCAGCTTCTTGATCTTTGGGAAGCAACCAGTGATTGACTGAGGAAAATGAAGAACAGAGGTAGAAGAGTTAGTTATTCATTCAAAATGGTTTTGGATCTTGTTTTTGTTGGTTCTTCTACTTTCAGAGTCCGTACCGTGACACTGTCGGCCATTGCCTGAGTACATGAGGAGTTACCGCCCGGGCAGCACTGTGGTGGGTATTGCTCTTCATGACTCACATAATATGGAGAGTCTATGAAGTCGGAGGCGTTGTAGAATCCACAACATTTTAACTAATACGGACACAAAGAGAGTAAGAGTCACACAAAGTACTGGAGAAACAGTGTCAAAAAAGATCACATTTTGTAGTTTATGCAGTAGCATGATGTACCGAGCTCATCGTAGTGTTCCACAGTCCTGTGACGTCTGGATTACTCCCATAGTCTGACTTGATGTTCTGAACTGCTGCTTTGCCAAGCTTCTGGATCAACTCATCTGCCTGAAATACAAACATACACTAGCCTTTGCATCCGTGTACCAAAGGTTAACAGCTGTCGTGATAATCCAGCTACTAATATCCTCTGTGTGAAAATGTTCTTTAATAACTTACCAAGGGTCTGAAAACCAAGATCACAACTGCTCCCGCAACCTCCGCTATGAAGACCAGCAAGACTATGATAAAAAACTGTGGAAAACAGCAGAGTGTCATTCGTTTTATTGGAATGAGATTATTAAACCCAACATTTCCAATAGCTAATAAAAATTGTTTTAATTAACGTTACTGTAGAATATTGAAACTGTTCTTATGGTTTGTATGCACCAACAGTTGGTGCTTACGTGGGCTATTTGTAAGTTTTCTCTGCGGCCGAACGTCGAGAGCAGGTGGTGGTGATTGATAAGAGCTTCAGCCATTGTTGCGTTTATAAGACAAGATGTTATAATACTCCCTCTGAGCAGCGCTACGTCTTTAAGGTGGATCGCAGGCTGCGGTGAGTCGCTATCAGAAAGTGACGAGGCGGGCCGCGCTAACTGGTTAGCATGCTAACTTCAGTAGAAGAAAAGATGTGATAGAAACAAGAGGTAACGTTGGTGTTGGTTTCTACCACTGGAGACAGCTGTTGGTGAGTAAGGGAATGAAGTTTGATGCCGAACTCACAACGTTTCTTCCGTAAGTTAATGCTAACGTTGGCTATGTAGCAATAGCAAAACAACAACCAACTTAACTAAGCTTAACCGGCATTTCAAATATCAAAATCAGTGCTCACTTGTTAGAATTGAGAAGACTGCTTTTGTCTTCCTCTAATAGCTCCTTTAAAGGAACTGTTTCACATTTTGAAAAGTACACTTATTCTCCTTCTTGTTGACTGTGTCTCACTGTGTCTCATCTGTACGAAAACCAAAGAATAAAACAACACTTTTCTGTAGTTTAGACTCTAACTTATGCTCAAACCTTTTCTTTGACCCCTTATAAAGTAGCAGACATCAACCTACCAGCAGCAGCATACACTTGCTCTCTTTGACAGCTCCGCAGCAGCCTAGAAAGCCTATGATGACCAGCAGCGCTCCTATTGCAATCAACAGGTAGCCCACGTTGAGCACCTGACTGAGCTCTGACGGCGCGTTCTCAATTTTCCCAAGGAAGCCGAGGATGGAGCCGCTGTCCACCTTCACCCAGATCCCAACACCCAGGACGGCAGCACCCGCCAACTGATGGAGAGAGATGGGGAGAGTGGAGAAATGGGTAAAAGCTTCAAGATTGAAGCAGCAGTCCACTGATTTTGCATGTGAAGTTCAGTCAGACAGCTGAAGCAGAGAGAATATCTTCTTGCAAGCGTCATCAGTTCATTTCTGTGTCACAAAGATACCATGTTTCTTTGCACTTGCGCTTTTTTTTTTTTTGCACATTTTTTCATAATGCAAAAGTAAAAAGTGAAATGAATGAAAATGAAATAATTTTTGAATCATTTGTCATTAAACATGAAAACTTACAAAGATAATGCCATTGAAAACAAACATCATGACTTTGAGGAATCCAAAACACCCCATCTTTGCTTCTGATTGTTGAACCTATGAGGAAAAAAACCCAAAAAAAAACATCAGTCATGTGCTGCCTTTGGACACATGTAACAGTCACTTGTGTGTACAACATTAATCATCATGCTAATGTGTTGTCCTGCTTGTCACCAAGTCATTATGCACTGCCAATTAGGTGACGAATTAACAGTGGCACTGTTCTGTTTCCTCCTCCCTGTGAGGTGGGAGGCTGAGCGCCAGGGAGGGGAAAACACCTGCCACTTTCCCAGCTCGTCACCTTTTACCCTTTGAAAGCTTAATAACTTATCTCTCTCAAACACCGAGAGTGCCCCGCACCTTTCTTTGCCACTCCAAGGACATTTACAGGACACATATCACCTAACAAAGAACTTGGGTGAGGGTTTTGTGTGGTTTAGCATTAGGGAGGTGACGATTGAGGAAGTATGCCGCACTGTATTTTCTAGGAAGTGATTCATTGCAGAAATTAAATGATAAAAGGTATACCACCTTTTGCAAATGAGGAAATGAAGCAAATTTAGGAATTACAGATAGGTTGCTTCTTTTTGCAACTTTCCCTTTTTTTTTTCTCTCTTTAAATTGGTGCTACAGTATGCAATAAGCGTTATGCAGCATAATGAAAAAACAAGGACTCCAGTGTGTGAATTTGTATAGAAAACTCTGTGGTTGGCCAGCCGATCCATCACAGCCATTTCTCTGGGATGACAGTCAGGGAGGAGGTCGGACTTTACAACATCACATCTCTTTAACTACCTGTTTATCTGTCGACACAGAAAAACAGATTTGTTTAAATTTGTGTGTGTGTGCTCAGACAAACGCATAACATTAATCATTCTCAATAATTCTGACTCATTAAACACAGGCTCACAAATAACAGTATTTTATCTCTGAATCTTCTCCTCCCACCTCCCCCTTTTTACAGCCTCCACTCTTCTAGAGTCACTTCAAGACTGTCACTTTCAAATGTGTGTGTGTGTGTGTGTGTGTGTGTGTGTGTGTGTGTGTGTGTGTGTGTGTGTGTGTGTATGGACCTCCCAGAAGGGGAACAGTCTTCTTTGTGTGGCGTGACAAAACAGACAAATTGTTATCCCCAAGGACAATGACAGAGCAGAACCCTATTGTGTGTAGCAACAGGCTGCTTTCTAAAAAATGGGATCTCCCTCATGGTCTCTTCTCTCTATTATTTAATTAATGCCAACTATTCAACCACAGCCTCTATGGTTATTTTTTAATTCCTTAAAAACTTCACCAAATATGCGCTCAGACCAACATATCAAATTAACTTGTCAGTCGATTTAGCCCACTTACGCTGATACAGTAAAGCTGGTTGTCATCAAGTTAATCATATATTTGCGGGCCAAGATGTCCTCAGGAAAAAACAGCCGTTGCCTTGACTCCCACAAACTCCCTCTATCATTTCACTCCTCTGTGCTTTTCCTACTTCCTCATGGTCAATGATTGCACTCTGACACAGAGAACTCAGCCTGGTGATGTATTAACAAGCCAGAGTCACATGCAAATCTCAGAGTGAGCCAGTGTGCACAGGCAACATCTCTTTTTCTATATATCGTGCAGCACATATAGGAAAAAGGGGAAAGCTCTTGCCTGAATGTGACCTACTTAACGCCACATGTGTGAAATTTATCAGCAGATACATGATCTACATTTGTTGGTCTTGGATCGACAAAAGCTCTGAATTGTCTCAGACTGTCCAACTTCCATCAAAAACAGAGCGGACGAGATGAATCTCAAAGGACGCCTTTGAGAGGAATAATTCGAGGCAGGTCTCAGGGGACAAAGGATCATTGTTGGATGGATCCCTCCTTACATTGGTACGGCACTTGAAAAAATAAGCAAAGGACCTAAAACTCGCATGAAGAAGCAAACATTGAACTTTAAAAAACACAGTTCGTCTCAGTTGAGTCATTATTACCTTTCACAGGAGAAATCCAAGGATGTGCTCTGAGGCTGGGCCACTGCTCAGCGTCTTTACCTTCACTGTGGTGATGGAAGCTGTTCCTGTGGGAGCGGACTGACTGTGAGATAACAGGAGCACAGGAGTGTATTATTCTTCTGCCCTCTGAAAATGACCCACAATACGCTCTCTGTCTGCCGCTTCCTGTGGATCTGTCACTCTGGTTGATATGAAAGAGCTTCTAAGTGACTTTTTCTGCTGCTTTCTGCTCTTATTTTAAGAGTCCCAGCTGGTTATAAGTACTGGAAAGGGAGGAGGGGAGGAGGGGAGCAGGTGGGCGTGACCAAAGCGGCTGAGTAATAACACACATCACCATGGAGTCAGGCTGGTTGCTCCTGAGGGAGGGAGGGGAACAGAGAGAGAGCTCACCTATGTGCAGCAACACCAACGAGCACGTGTGTCTCTGTTTGAAGGTGTTATTTTGAAGACAGTTTGTAGATATGACAAAATAATGTGACCATTTTTAATTAATATTAACAGACCTCTTACAAGCTTTTCCTTCCTCAGCATATACTGAAAAAGTTGTGTATTAATAGATGGATGATTATCTATATCTATATCTATGGAATGCCAGCTATACGTTTCCATTGGTTGTTTGGTCTTTTGCACAACGCTGTCTCAGGGGTTCCACAAGGGTCAGTCTTAGGACCACTGCTTCTTATTCATAAATGGTTCCAATTGGCAACATTTAAGTTGCATACATTTTTTTTTTTTTTTTTACATCAACAGCGGATCAAATGACAATGTAAGATATGAAAAGTGTGGTGTCTTTTAGCTCATGGTCACTTCTGGTTTTAAAGCCATCACCATATCCTTTACCATTATTGCGCTCTCAGTGTCTACACTTTTCTGAGCAATCAAAGCACTCACAAAAAAATTTGGAGAATGCAATTCATGGTCAAAAGTCACCTGCTGAAGCAGATGATAAATAAAACAATAAAAAAGCTCCGGGTACAAGCTACTAAATGGACCTTGTGAGATTGTTTTCTCAACTACTGTTTCCAAGGTCAGGAATGAAGTTTCAGTTTCAATTGGATAAAATATCTTACAGCTCTAAATATAGCGCTAAAATAACCCTTATCAAAGTAAACACTCACAGTGATATAATAACCAGTGGCTCAATGGGAACTTCTATTTTAGTTTCTCTTGACCTTACTCCTTTAATACGGTTGATTATGCTATTCTGATTAAATATGCTACACTGGTCAATCCTAGGACCACTGCCTTTGAATCTCTACATGCTCTTGCATGACAAAATTAAAAGATTAAAACACAAAACTATAATACATATGCAGGCGACACAATACATAACATTTCTCATGGACTCTGATCCTATTAATAATATATAACTAAAGCAGTTTTGTATCACTTGATAAACAAACTAAAAGTCAATTAATTAAATTTTATTTCAAATTAAATTTTGTATCACAAGTTGTTTCTGGCCACAGTGGGTGGGGACACTCCCGCCATCTGAACCGAGAGCAACATGACCACTCAAGCTGCACTGGTCCAGTGTGAGTGTTTTTCCATTGCATGACATTTTAAAAGAAGTTGTTTGCGTTGATGACGTGGTGCAGGTGTGCTGATTTAAACAAACCACAGAACAGTAGAGTACTCTCTTTGAAAATTACACTGACAAATAATAGGAAGGTTCCAGCGCATTCAAAATACAGTCCTCACATGTACATGCAAAGCGGAACCTGAAACTCCAAAATTCAAATTCGCCGGCTTCCAATGTAATTCAGCTTTATCCTATATGTTTGACCTTATCACTGACTCTGATCCATTCAGACTTAAGCAAGTTAAGAGTTGTTTGTTTTCTAAGGTGTGTATTTGTATGTGGTTTGTGTCTTGTGTTAGATTCATGGTATGTCAGTGTCTATTGGAGAATGGCTTTTCTTGCAGTTTCTCTTTTCTTTTGTTGCTGTTTGTAATTCCTTGTAGCTCAATGCTCCTCAGACATTTTACAGTGTGATATTTCCTTAACTACTAAACGTCACAATCCCGAGAGTGACAGATGTGGAAGACTGACTCATCTGCAAAAAGAAAGTAGGAGGCTGTGGCCTATATGAAGAATGAGTCTTATGAGTGTGTTGCCCCGAGCTAAACCTTCTATTTACGCAAACATCCAGAAACCAGTTACATGTCCAACGTTCAGCAGACTGAAAATGGTCCAGTATTTATGAAGTCATTTTATGACCAGGTGTCAACACTTATGCTTTTCATGCCCTTTCTTACTTTTAATGCACACCCCCACTTCATCACAAATGCACACACACACACACACACACACCTTAGAGTGCATTATGCAAGACGCAAGAACACGTTGCATGTTATTAATCATTTGTGTCGCACAAATGTCTTTCAGAAAAAGAAAAGTAGAATACAAGTACGAGTCATATTCATATATTTTAGTGATTCATCATTTAACAAAACTGACAGAAGACAGAAAAAGTGCATTTACTTAGAGACTAAAATACAGACAGAACACAAGAAAGGGACATGAGAGGACAGAGGTGAATTTTCCTGAGATTGTCACGTTAAACTCACAGGATTTTGTCATTGGTACCTGTGAGTAAGGACGCTGGGATGATGAAAACAGATGATAGGAAAATGTAAGATCAATACTGCTCTGCTGGCCCACACAACAGCTGCTCAAATTTGAATGACTGAAATGAAAGAACCTCTATTTGTGACACTACGAGAAGTGGTGCCAATTTCACAGCGTTAAATTTATTTTTATTTTTCTAATAGATTTAACACATATACTGTATGTACTGTTATAGTCATATATTTACCCTCCACACTAGTTGGCATCAATAATCTTTTTTTGGTGGTGTTTTAATGGACTGAGCAATTATATTTAACCCATACTTAATCTTTAAAGGACCATACCAGTGTTTTGCAACGTGTCTAGAAAATCTTCCTTTAATGGAAAATATTTTGTATCAAACTTTTAATTGACCGTTCACTAAACCCCAACCCCCATCCCCACCCCCTGCAGCGCCTGTGTTAGGTATATATACTCTTTACCATGGTAGTGGTGACAGATTTACCGCTCGAAATGTGTAGTAATATCAGAACATTTTTTTGTGGATTGTTGATTTCAGACAGAGGTAGAAAAAAAAGCAAGCTTCTCATCCTAGCTGACAGCCGTTGATTTTATCAGCTCAAACGAACTAGCTAATTAAGCTAGGTGACATAAGCTCCATGAGCTGCTGAAAACGCCGTCTCCCAGTCGACTTTGTGACGCTTCAAACTGACTCATTTTAACACAAGAAAGCTGTAAAAAGGGTCATTTGAACTTGGTGGCTAACATACATGAAAGGACCGAGGCTAAAGCTGCAAGTCTCAGGCAAAAAGTCAGTATCCTCATCAGCTGATGATCCACGTGGAAGACACGGTAATAAAGAAACAGCATTGTTCTTATATTGCAGTTAAAAGCTCCTAGTATTTAAAGTATAATAAGGAAAAATGTACCATTAGACTGTTATTTTTTCCTAACGCAACGTTAGCTGCTTAGCTTACACACTCAGACAAGCAAGACAGAGGCTACATTTTTATTATACTTTGAAACACCATGTTTTACTTTTAATATTATAGAGAGAAACGGCTTTTCTGACGAGGATTAACCAAGGTGTTTAGAGAACATATCACCATCTCAGTTATGATTGGCTACAGTTGCTGGAATGTAATGTAAACTTTTGTTAGCAGGACAGCGCCGCTAACATTAGCCCAACTTTGAGAGCATCCTGGATCAACTCCCAAACAGTGGGGGAAGTTTAAACAGGGGTTGTGCTGGTTGTGAATGGAGCTTTTTTTAACTTGTAACCTGTAACCTGTAACCCCACAATAATGTAGTAGTGAAATGTTGCTGCCCTTGTAAACAACAACGGGCCACTATTGTAGATAGTAAGCTAGTTAGCCAGCCATGCTAACTCTTGTAGCTTACGTTAAAACAGAAAAACACATAATTGAATGCATTCCTTACACTTTTGCTCTTGTGATTTTGGTTTTTGAAAGGGTAAAAAAAAAAATCCAATGCTTGACATAGCTGCTGAGCCTAGTTATGGTTGTTTAACTAGGACTGGGTGATCACTGTTTAGGGAAAGGGGTCCAGTGAATGGTCAGTTGGACATCATTAATCAACAGTGGATTAAGCTTTTCTTTCCTGCTGTGTCCTGCACAGCTGTTAGAGAGGCTCACTTTGCATTTACCTACTGCTTGTGTTTTCACAGGTGATGCTCACATCATCCTGGACATGAGAAGCAAAGGAAATTGTTTCTCTTCACTGGAAGTCTTCCTTTGGTTTTCGAAGGCCGACCTGTTTAGCTCCTATCAGCAGCGCTGGAGTGCCTCAGGTTGCCTGCTTGTCTGGGTGGCTCTTTAGCTTGTGGAATTTAACACTGTCCAGCTTCTCAAACCTCTTGTCGCAGAACTCACAGGTGAAGTTGTAGTGGGCCTCTGGAGTGTGCTTCTTCATGTGCCAGTTCAGGGATGCACGCTGGCGACACTGGTAGCCACAAATTTCACATCTGACAGATGACGCAGGTGAGAGGACGAGACGGACGGAACAGGGAAGAAAACAGGAGTGATTATGGGCCTCTTCTTACAAACTCTAACTGTGTAACAACAAGAAATGTTTTCAGCATTATTAACTTACTGGAGCGGTGTTTCTCCTGTGTGGGTCCGCCTGTGAACCTCCAGGTGATTCTTACGCTTAAATGATTTTCCACATGTCTCACAGATGAAATCTCTTACCCCTGTAAAAAAAAAAAAAAAGAAAAAAGATCCAGTTACATTTGGAGGTTTATGAAGATGAGACTCTGACATGACAAGCGTGTTTTTGTGCGCCCACCTGAATGGATGATCATATGGCGATGCAGGTGGTTCGACAGGTAGAACTTTTTACCGCAGCCTGGATGGGGACAAACCTTGGTCCTCCCTTTCCTGTGAACTAGGTTCACGTGATTCTACAGATAAGGGAAAAAAAAAGGTTATTTCATTCTTCTGCTAAACAAACTGAAGCATGAAATATGAATGAAAGCTGTTGTAGTACCTGAAAGCTGCTAATAGCTACGTAGACTTGACTGCAGCCCTCGTATGGACAGTGGAACATCTTGAGCATCCCATCGGCCTCAATGACTGGGCCTCGTCTGTTCCTCTTTGACCTGACGCTGCGAAAACAGACAGTGTGGAGTAGACTACAACAAGAGGACAATAACTGGTGGTGGATTAATAACCTCTGCAGAGCTCCTAACCCTCAAATCCTTCCTTGTCAATCTGTCTGGAAGTCACTTCACCATTTAGAGAATGTGTGCCACAAACCTGCTCAGACTCCTCTGCAGTTCTCTGTCACCACTCAGCTCCAGAGCGTCAACAGTGGGCTGCAGCAGCTGTTTGTCACTCAACCCTGCAGAGAAACGGTGTGAAAACCCGATTTATAAAATCACTCAGCTGAATCTAAATGTCTCCTGACTTGAGCACTGGCAGCTTGACGACTTTCATATCACTTTCACTATAATCAACATCTTTATTCTTAAGGGTGCTGAGCCTTGAGGGGAAAATATGTGCTATAAATAAAGGATTTCAGGTCTCAATTGTTGCCGTATATACGATCAATGCTGAAAACTTGACCCTTTAATTTGTCTCAGGTTATTTTTTAGAACGGTTCTGAACACAATTTGCATTAGCCAGTTTTCCCTTCAAATTTAGCACAAAATTTTACTGAAATCCCCCCAAAAAAATCATCAAAAGAAAATATTATATTAATGTGTGTTTCCAACCATTACTGTTACGTGAATATTAGGAGTTGAGTGGGTCAAGATAAACAGCTGGTGGCCCTAATTCTCCAGTTGGGAGTCATTAAATCATCATCGTCATCGCAGGAGAAGAGGGCGCCACTAGGTGACGTGATTAAAAGAGCGCCAGTCAAAGCTCAAACGATGTCGACTACATGACAGAAAAGTGACATTTCTGTTTGTTTCGTGTATTAATGTGAGGAAGGTTACAGTCTCATCAATCCACGTAGATATGACGTTTTCATCTGGTTCTATTTTTAGTCTCTGACACCCACTGGAGCCTCTGAGTGGATCGACCTTTTCACAGCCAAATAATTCAATGATATTTTTTGTTTAATTCGACTTCGCTCACCTAGCCTCGGTCTTGTCAGGTAGCTCCTTTACATTCAAACCAGTGTCTCTGCCACAACTAATGCTGGTTTTAGTGAGGATCAGGATATGATATGGAACATAAGAAACCTGGTCATTCATACTCCTGTGTGAATATTACATTATTCAGCTTTCTGAGTGTCTATCCGTTGTTTTTGAACTGAGGTGCAGCTATTATCAGCATCTCCCTATCATTTATAAATGTCTATAAAGTTTTATGATCCAATATTTATTTTACTCTGTTTGTATAATGCAGCTTACAGTACAGACATATAGCTATTAAAGCTATTTAGGTATATTTGAATAGTGCTGAAAAGTGTTGCATTACGGAAATATAACCTGCCACATTGCTTCCTTTAATGGTTTCATATCATGCTTTTACAGTGTCATGTAGTATTTGCATATTGGATGTTCCTGTAAATCTGCTGTTGCTGGAAGGTCTACACAGACTCTTTTACCAACAGCAGCAGAGTAGATAGATAGATAGATAGATAGATAGATAGATAGATATTTTAGCAAACATCTGGCTTCATAACCAAAATTGAGGCTATGTTAATTAAAAAAATGCCTGGACTGGTCCTGAGCTGGTGGATCCTTTAACGTTAATGTCAGTGTGTAGAACATCACAACCTCTACCTCTGTATTACTTGTTCAGCTGATGAGGCGCTGTGTGGCTTGAGTGGAGTGCACACCTGGGCACAGTATCCTGGTTATGAGTCTTATTACAGTTCAGATCAATTGACAGGATGTTTGCACAGAACATGAATGACCACCTGCTTATTCAAGTCTATCCATAGATGATTCTTACGCAGTGCTGTCGGCAAATGAGCGTGGCAGCCAGTAGTTTCAAATGATAGTATAGAAACATTCAGACACTACATCCACATTCACAGTCCAGCCCGCACCCCCGCACCCAGATTCCCTTTCAACGTACCTGTCATGGAGTCTTCATCCTCTGCTGTTCTGATTTTTGAGTCACACGAGCACACCTGGTTGTAGGTGACGCCCCCGATGACAGTGCAGGTGACTTCCTCCACGTTTCCGCCGCCCATATTGAGCTGGATGCCCTCTGACGCCAGGGCCTCATAGCTGGGGCCGGTAATGATGATTAACTGCGGACGACAAGAGAATGGAAAAAACAATAGTAACTTTTGAGGAAAAGCGAAAGCACATTCCTTTAGTGTGTACTACTTAAACATCTCTACAAGATACTCATTCACCTACCTGCGAGCCTTCCAACGCCGTCCTCTGGTCAGGGATCTCACAGCTGGTCACTACCGTCTGCAGAGTCTGAGGGTCAAACAGCTCACCCTGCTCTTGTACGTGTATGGGTGGGGGGACCGACAGCTGCGGCTGAGCGCCCAGTTGGACGGAGCCACTCAAGCTCTGTGACAGCACCGAGTCCTCATCCGTCTTCTCCAGTTTATCGGCTAAGGATGCCGCCACGGTAACGCAATCGTAACCATGTGGTAAAGTCCTGATTTCTTCTTCTCCGAGTCTCTCTCCTCCTCCTTCCCCTTCGTCTCCGCCTCGCCTCAGATCCTCAGCCTCCTCTTCTGAGGGGATGGAGTGAAACGCCGCAGCAGGGGAGCCCTGCTGTCGCTCCATGACCATCTCCATCTCCCACACGGGCTGCCCTGTCAGTGGGACGTCCTTGGAAGAAGCCTCTATACTGGGTTGGTGGTTTAGAGCTGCGGCCTCTTCGATCGGGCTCATGGTTGTATGTTGTACCTCAGAAACATCCACATTTTCTCCCACGTCTACAGAAAGATGAAAAAAAAAAAATATATATATATGTTGATCATCAAGGAATTCAGGATTCCCCAGCTGCTGGTAAACATTTAACTACTTATGATATCAACAACAAAACTACAAACCCTACATGACGAGTCAAAGAACAAAATTACACAGTGATCACCTTTGAATTGTTTGTGAGCCTCTTTTCTTCTCCTCCTGCTCGCTTCGCCTTTAGCCACCAGCAAGTCTGTATTTGCAGCATTCTCCTCTCCGTTCACTCCGTCCTCCTGTTCAGAGTCACTTGCCTCCCTCAGTGGCGAGAAAAGGTATTGCACAAATGAGTGGTTGGAGTCACACTGCCAGATAGCAGCGGTGGAGAAGTTGGGCTGGGGCTCCAGGGCCTTGAGCTGTGGCTCGTGAGGGCAGGAGCGCGAGTGCTCCTGGTACCAACACACGAGGCTCTGGAGGCTGGACACACGGTCCCTCCTGCCTGGGAAACAAGGAAAGTTGACAGATGAGTGGAGAAGTGGATTTCAAGAGGATTTGGTCAATTCAGAATCTACATGTAAATCCCGCTCTTTAGATTTCAATGCCTTGTTGATTCCTTGACTGAAAAAATATTAATACAAATAGCAAATCAACATTATGAGATACTGAGACAATTAAATAAGAAATAAGACATAATTAATGAAATCATATCAAGTCAGAACTTTGACTTCATGGGTGAAAATCAGATATTAAGCTTTACCCATCAGTTCTGCTGATTAATAACTATAAGCTTTTCATATTCTCTGTTAAAAGTTTGGTTATAAGTTGTCTGAAAGTGGGGAATCATAATTTTTACATTGCGTCTTCAAAAATCCAAATATATTTGATTCACTGTCATATAAGAAAAAAACCTCCTATTTCAGAACTTGGTAATGTTTGTCATCAGTCCCTGAAAAACTCAAGTCAATGAATCATAGAGTATTAAAATATTTGCAGATTTATTTTCTTCCAGTTGACTAATCGATCAATCAATCAATCAATTAATCAATCAATCAATCATCTAAAGCTACAATTCCAATTCCAGGGGGATGAGTCAAGAGTTTGACTTCAAATTTGTCAAATGATGAGATAGAAGTTATTATTTCTGACTGAAATTTCAGTCTGTAGAGGATGAGGTTGCCCTGATGAAATCAGTTCACCACTTGCATCCACTTTCCACATCACATGAGCAAAAAGCAGAAGAGCAAATCTCAGACTGAGCATTGTCAATAACAGATTTGTCTGACTTAACAAATCTAATTAACTCGGCTACTTAAAAAATATTTGAAGAATAATCTTTCACACACCTTCCAAACCTGTGTGACTGATTTGGGAAATATCCTCCTTCTGTTAATGGCAACACTCACCTTTTTTCTGCTTTGCTGAGACTTCAGGGGCAATCTTCTTCCTGCAATGCAGAATAGCATCATTTTCAAGAGTTACGTAGAATAAAACAATGAAGCTGCCAGCAGCAGTGATTGACAGAATGGAGGCAGCAGTAGCTTATAATATTACAGCAGACCGCCCTGATAAAAGACAAAAACGTGCAATTTCAGGTAGCTAATGTCAGCGTGTGGAAATAAAGTGGCCACGGCCATGCCTACCCGCAGTATTTCTGCTGGTATTTTTCTCCATATGTGGAGTTGAGCAGGATCAGGTACTCTGCCAGTCCAGCATCACTCAGGCTGGTCCGTCTGCGGAGCTCACTCCACAGCTTGTGCGACTCTCCCAGGTACACCCTCCTCACATCGTACTTCTTTCGGGATTCAAGTCGCCTCTGAGCTCGGTCGGTGTCTGTGAGCCTGGGTCGTCCTCTGCAGCGCCTCAAAACACCTTTCCCTTGGTCCCCAGCTTGGTCAGTGTCCAGGGGAACCTCCAACTCTGCCAGGCTATGCGCCATCTTGGCTGTTAACAGCTGATGTTGTGATTACCCGACTTTCCGGAAGTTGCATAGACCTCACAGGAAGCACCGATAGAGGCGCCTTTTGTAGCTTGCGTCCCACAGCACGGGCTTTTAAACGTTGCTAAAAAGATTTACACAGTCGTAAACAACATGAATGCATATCTGTTAAAAAATACTGACAGAAACGTCCTCCCTGCTCGCAGAAGAACCGCGGCGGAACGGTACAATAAACGGAACTCTTTTCTCACGGACCGCACCAGCATGAACACCGATGTGCAACATGTAAACAGACGCGGGAAAGTTAAGCGTTACCAGTGACATAACTTAATAAGAGGTGTATAGTATCTAAACAATAGACATGACAGACATTTTAACGCTTGTGTTTAAGACGTTTAAGTCACAAACGGATCTAAAGATGGACCTCACAGTCAGTCCTCCGCCTCCGACAACCTGCGGCGCCCTGGTGGTCGGAGACCACAGCGTCAGCCGGTCCGTGCTGCTGCTGGCGGCCGTGACGGCAGCCTCACAGATGGGGATGAGAGTGATGTTCTTCACCCAAACACAAATTCAAAGTCTCCCAGCGTCTCTGCAGAAATGTGTCCCGAGCCTGAGCCCGGAGAGTCTAAAGGTAGAAGTCACTTTGCTCTGTCTCCACTCGTGTGTTTGACATACTTTCTCTAAAAGTTGTAAACTATAGAGGACTTTTAAGTTGCAACTAATTTATTAATGCGTAATCAATCATTTACTAATACGTTACAGATCATTAAACCATTTAGAAACCAGCTTTTGGGTTGCCAGGTAACCAGAGATGTGGTTAAAAGCTCCAGTAAAAACTAGAAGGCGGACCTTGCTGTCTATTCAGATTAATTCCTTGTTGTGTAACTGTAACTAACAACTTTCAGTCTACAAAATATTAAAAAATGGTGAAAAATGCTATCTTGACCCACTGACGTTCTGTCTGTCAATTTAGTTTCTTTTTCTGTTTCTTTTTTCTTTATTTAAGAAAATCAAGTTTTCCTATCCCAGGACAGTGGAGGAGCTCCTCCTGCAGATTGCCAGCCTTCACGAGTCCACCAACACGTCTCCCACGCCACCCTCACTGATCATAGTCGACAGGTTGGAGAGCTTCCTGTCTGATTCTACAGGTGGTAGCCACAGTGGATTTCACCCAGGAGAGCAGTCGTGTGCCGCCCACCTGTCTGCGCTGCTGTGTGACACTGCTGCCTTTCTCACTCAAGTCCTGGAGCAGCGTTCCTCGATCTCGGGCCCCTGCCGTGTCATCGCCTCTTTCCAGTCTGAAGTAGACCCCGGACAAGCTGGCGGGGAGCCCTCTGCCACAGATCCCATCCTTGATATCCTTGATCGCTATTTCCAGGTACGCTGCACTCTGGACCAAGACAGAGGATATGAAGCTGCGGCAGCTGGACTACAGCAGCTGTGGCACATTTATCTTTCTGGGAGAGGCATCACAGAGGCCTCTTCTGCCAAAGACGGGGAGGAAAGGCTAGATGTAGCCCAGGAGTGGCAGTTGCTGATTTTTCCTGATGGTTTAATGGAGTTTAAGTTGGTTTGAAAATGTCTGTATCAAAGACTTAAACAGTGGGCATTGATAAAAGCCAATCTGTTGACTTGGAGAGGAGTAGTGTTTATTTTCAGCACCACTTGGCTTGAAATTTCGGCGCTTGGGAGTTTTCAGTGATGATGAGATGTACTACAGTATAACAGGCCATGGTCACTATTACACTCCATCTTCCAAGTAAATCATATCTTCTTTTATGCGTTTCCAGTCATTTAATACAGCACTTGTCTTTGCTTTGACTGCCGTTCCTTCTTGAATACATTGTCATGTAATCTGCTGTTCAACCTCTTTGATATTATTTAACCCACACCACAATATTTGTAGATGTAAAACATTTAATGAGTTTAGATGACATAAAGGTTTGTCAGACATATTAATCAAATCTTACACAATGAAAAAATGTATATACAATACTGGAGAATTTAGCATGTGTGAGACACTGAACTTACGCGGCTGATATCACAGTGAAAGTATTTTACACATCAGAAGAAATATAGAAAATACTTATTTTGAAAAAAAAAACAAGTAAATAAGTAAAAAATATTAATCCTTAAAAGGAGATATTCTCAAACTGAGTGTGACAAAGACAACACCCTCTCTTAAAATATGTTGCATATTAGTAAAATATTAAATATCAAACAACAAATAATTAAAAATAACATTTTGTTTTTTATTGTATTTGATAAATCATGAATTGCTGTTGTGAAATAAATTTAACAATTTGTAAGAGAGTAAGTTTTGAGCTTTAAACCTTTGTCTCCTTTAGGTGTCACACTGTGCTATAACTTTTTTTTCAATTTCAGTTACAACATATTTACTTAAGACACAAAAGCAAACAAGCATAAAAAAACATGGAAATTATTCAGTTTGATTTGAAAACGGCAATGAATTTAAATGTTTTGAATAGACATGTCGTGTGTGCTCTGCTCTTTAGATGGCAGTAATGACTAAAAGCAAACATGACAAGAGAGAGACTAAACTAACGACTACAGTCACCTGAGAATGAATATTGCCTTAAAACTTTCCTGCACAGCCTACAGTAGTAGTATTTTTATTTTTATTTTTATTTTATTTGATTATGTGTTCGGGTGTTCTTGGATCATTCTCTGAAACAACTGCGATAAAATACAAAAAGCATCATAATATTATTTACAAGTACAGTTAGTTTTTTATCAGGTTTGGAAATTACACTGGCTTAATAGCTGTCGGGTCCAAGTGAAAGCTGTGTGTTTTGTTACTTGAGGGTATAAGGCAATATTCCAATTTTTTATTGTCAACAAAGCCCATGAGAGGAGCAAAACTAGCAATATCTTAATATTATATCTTTTTTCACCTTCCCTTATCTGCCTTCTTACTAAAAATGTAAATCCTCAAAATAAATATATATATATAAATATATACTTAAATTTTTAAAACAGGCTCAGTAATTTTCTAGAATATCTTGGCGCTGTAGTTTTTAGCAAATGTTTGTTTATTTGATTAAATTTGTTGGGGACTATTTTCTGCAGTGGATTAATACACATTTGGTGCTCTAATGAGTATTCACAGCACTACAATACTTTATGTGAGTTTTACTTCAAATAAACCACTGTGGTCAGTGATATGGAGGAACATGTCACAGTGTGATGGTTGACTCACAATGCTAGCAGTGTGACATTTGTGGATGGACTGCCATTAAAATTCATCCATTCACACCCCTCAGAGTAAACTAATACCTTTGGTGATCACTTTAATGTTTCATGTGGTGTCACCAAGTCAAATATTAGTTTGTCCAGTACTTTGGTTTGTGACCTGCAAATCTAATTAGATTCCCCGTCAACCTGTTAGTTAGCATCATTTAGCATGCTAAACTAAAGACAGTGACACTGTCAGCATTTTAGCATGTTGACATTAGCGTTGAGCAAAAAGCACTGCTATGCCAAAGTACTGCCTGACAGAGCTGCTAGAACGGCTTTAAATTCTTAGTCTTAGACTGGACTAATGTGGAGCTCTGTGGCACGTGCTGAAGGATCAGTTTATTGCTGGTTTAAGTCTTTTCATGGGATTTGCTGACAACAAGAAAAACAAAGAATATCACCAGTCTTATCCTTTAAGACACGTCAGAGGGAGAGGGAAAGTGCGTCAGCCCGTGTTGTTCACAGTCCTTTGGTTCTGTACGTCTACTCTGTGTTTTAACCTAATAGCTGTTCTGTCATTTAAGCTTGAAAATAATAGTACACGTTGCTCAAACATGAATAAATCACCATGGAAACGATCAGGGAGTTCACCCCCTCGGCTTGAATTTTGGTGAAGTTATAGAAATATTCCTGATCTGATCTACAGGATAGGATACTAAGAGATCAGCATACCAACCTTTACAATGAATATCAGTATTTGGCATAAACCACAGCTGCCATTTCCATGTAATGGCATTGTCCTGTACAGATCAGGGATGATTTGGCTAAAGTAGAAATGATGTATGTACATCCAGTGGACTTGGAGTCCTGTAGCTTACACTTCACTATGAGTCAGTCAGAGCCCAAAACCTTGATACGCCTTTCTTAACAGTTGATATGAGGCTCTGTAGTTTTGCGTGTATATCCAGGTACCCTCCTCCGAGCTCGCCCCCAGTCTCAGTCCATGTGCGGCTGAGCTCCTTCTCAGCGGTCATCGTGGACAGAGTGCTGCCTCGGCAGGAATGGTCTTCTGTGAGCAGGGAGCTCATTCTTGTACTCGTTGGCGTAGATAACCACTTTCCCAATGTCGTCTACTCTGCTCATGGGGCTGTAATCCATAGAGACCCCAGAGTCTGCCACTGCCATGTAGGTGTACCCCGGGCCTTTGGGCGTCCAGGCGTGGTTCGGGTACTCAAAGCTGGACTGCGATGAAAGACGCCCTGAACCAGAGCTCTGCTGCACAGATCCCAGGTCGGAGTGAGATTCACACAGCACTGTCTTTCTGGAGGCAAAAAGTACTTCGAGGGGTAACGCCTCCTCAAGAGTATCATCCAGGTGCTCGTCCTCGCTGTGGTTGTTGGCGCTCAGGGTGACGTAGGTGTCTTGAGACTCCAGCAGAGAGGACTCTGAGCAGGGCATGGGGCGCTGGTGAAGTGCCCGTAAGCGATCCATCAACCAGTGGTCTTGCGGTGTGGCTCTCCATCCTTCTGTCAGAGGTGAATTGCCCCTTTCCGATGGCTCTCTCCCATCCAGGCCTTTCTTCACATCGTTGTCCTCCTTCCTGTCTGCGGTTAAAGCCCTGGGGACCGTGGGTGGCAGAGGCGGGGAGGGCAGTGAGGGGCAAAGGCTGAGCTCCGAGAGTATTTCCAGAGGAGAGGGGTAGTCCTCTGAGTAGAAGAAAGCCGGAGTCAACCACAAGCCTCCATTGGTCTGCCCTAACCACTCCTGTACAAAAACACAGGAAAAGATCATGACATTTTTCCTGTGACACCACGACCAGCTATTGAATGTTCTAATGTTAGCTTCCTGACAAGTTAAAGTAAGATGGTGCTAAACAGCAGCATGCTAACACGTCATTCTGAGCATGCAGCGTGCTGATGTTAGCACGTAGCTCAAACCACCGCTGCGCTGAAGCACAGCCTCGCAGAGCCACTGGTGTGGCTGTAAAGTCTTAGTCCGGTTCTTACCTGAAAGTCCCCGCCGTAAACGGTGAAAAGACCTTGGAACTTGCCGTCAGGAGTCGGAATAGTCGGCCAAATCTTCTTTGTAAGAAACCTAAAAAAAAAAAAGCATAGATACTGAAAATATAATTCTCAATGTTAAAGGTTCTTACAGAAGCAACCATATATGTTTATGTGGTTAGAAAAGTAGCAATGCACTTGTGTCCCTGTTTGACCAACCTGCGATGGGACAGGAGCATGGTGAGAGACAGCACGACGAGGATGAAAGAGATGATCAGAGTGAGGGAGATGATGAGTGGGTCAAATTCTGGAGGAATAAAATGATCAAAAGAAGAGTCATTGCAAAACACTAGGAACCAATTAAGAAAAGAAATAAAGGGAACCAATTAAGAAAAGAAATAAAAACGTGTAAAAATGTGGGACTACATATTCCCTTTCTTTTTTTTCTTTTTTTTGTGTGTTGGATGTGTGAAGGAGTAAATGAATCCTCACCTGCAGGCAGTGTTTCTATGAACACTGGGTCACTCCAGGCACTCCAATAGCCATTGTAGCTAATCCCATCCAGCTTTACACGGACCTGCACCTTGTACTTTGTACCTGGCTGCAGGCCTGTCAGGATCAACTCTGAACTAGCTCGTACCACCTCGACCTGGAAAACAGTCCTCAACTCATCAGTGAAGTCCATGAGTCCCCCGACCATCAAACCTGCTGCTTGAACCTTCATTCAACTTTTAACGTATCAGCGCCGTACCTGCGCCACATGGCTGTCCGCCGTAGCGTAGCTGACCTCGTACATCATGCTGTCATCCATGTACTTGAGAGGGGGAGGCACCCAGCTGACATTCAGTTGGCCTTGCTTCCCTGTGCTGCTCACCGCCACATTGGCAAGAGGGTCAAGAAGAACTGCCATTCAGAAAGACAGCAGGCAGCTGGTCAGGGAGGATTATTCCTTACCCCATCGGTACCCTTACGTACCCTAATGTCACATACATGTGTAGCTCGAGTGTGTATTGATTACAGCTTTGTTTAAACCTACAACAACCAAATATTTGGGCACTCAGGATCATCAGAAACAAACTTTAAAGACAACCACTGAAGCTGATTCAGGGTCGTGCTTATGTCGACCTTGATGGACGTAAACTAAAACAGTGAGTTGAAAGATAGTACAAAGCAGCTGTTGGGAACTGCAGCTTCAGGTTTTTAATTCTCTATGAGTTTGAAAAAAAACTTTTCTGGGAAATTTAGCGACAAGGAAAATGAGTCTAATCCAACATTCTCACATAAAACTTTCAAATGCGTTTCACAGGTAAAATAACTTACAGACAAGCTCGATGAGGAGGCTGCGATTGTGGATCAGAACTCCCTGCCGATGAACTCGGACGTCCATTTGGACAAACATCTGGGTTTGGTTCAGGTGGCAGAGGAACAGCCTCTTCCCACCTGCTGCACGGAGAACTCTCAGTGGGCATCTGCTGCTGTTTTCTTGACTGCTCAGGACAGAGAGAGACAGAAGCTCAAAAGCAGTACTTTAATTCTCAAATGAGTCCACAAACAGTTCTGACCTGGCACGATGCTGGGTCGTAAAAACAGTTTTTAAGCCTTGAAATAATTCTTCAATGACCCTGTTTTATTTGTAGACTACTGGTTGAAATAGAAAAAGGAAAGAAAGAAAAAGAAACCCTATGTATATTGGCCATATTGGACACAACGTGGCTTGTTGTTATACACTGTCTTACACTGAAAGTGACTTACTGGTAGCTGTATGTGAAGGAGTACTGGTCCACAGAGCCAGCTCTTTCCTCATCTTCCTCCCAGAAGCACGTTAAGTCCTTCCTGCCTTCAGCAAAGCATTTGGGATTTTCTGGCTCTACCTTCAGCATCATAGACACTAAGGGGGGTACAGGTGGGGGGGCAACAGACGTGTGAGAGCACCATGTGAGCTAGAAGATCATGATGGTCAGCCGAAAGCTTTTCTGATGTCTTAGACACGAAATACAGTCACAAACAGACTGGAGCAACGGAAGGTGTATCCAACACATCATTTCTCTATTTTTCTTTTTAACTGTCAGTCAGTTACTCAATATTTCTTCTAGTTCTTTTCTAAAAAAAAAAAAAAAGTTACCCTACCTTTCTTTTCGAAATCTCGCGCGCCCTGGACGATGGAAGCGGTTCGCATGGCGCAGAGAACCATGAAAAGTGCCAACACTCGGCTCAGGTGATCACATGACATCCTTTTGTCTTCTCTGTGAACAGAAAAACGTTGGCCTTCTGTTGTTCACCTGCATCACTGGAGAATAACCTGCCACAAATGCGTCCGCCTCGGCTCTGGCCTGGGGGAGGCTTGTTTTTTGTTTAGATACCATGGATAGCGCAGCGCGGTTACGCGCCTGCTTGTGAGCGATAAGGTGAGTAGAGCTGAGCTGTTTACTTTCTCCCAAAGTCAGTGAGGGAGAGGAGGGGCAAGAGTCTAACAAAACTTTTTACTCTCCTGATGATGGGCGGAAATCACGCGCTCATTGATGTTTACAACTTGTTTGTGCTGGTTGTACTAGTGAACGAGGAAGTGCGCCCACTGGACTTGTGCCGTGCGTAAAAGCGCGCAAACGTTGAGAGAGAGGGAGAGACAGAAAGATAGATAGATAGATAGATAGATAGATAGATAGATAGATAGATAGATAGATGAATAGATAGATAGAATTTAAAAAAAGGAATAATTTTACTCTTTTTATTTTATGGACTTCTGAGCATCTCACAGGAGCTGAAGCTGACCTCCTTCAAGATGCGATTTGGGCTCAGTTCCTGGTTGGCTCCGGGCCAATTTAATCCCTGTATGTGTCCAAGTAGTAGAGTACTCACACACCTAAGAAGCAGTCCAAAACGGTTTCTTATCTACTTTCTGCACCCACATGTTTTCTTCGTTTGACCAGCATTATCAGAGCTGCAGACAACCCTGTTTCTTCACCCACGATAAGTAGCAGAGGGGGGCGTAGCGGCCCATCCCCGTCAGTTTAAATGCAATTTAGCGCTTCTTTACATCACTTCAAAAGAGGAGGAGACAGCCCTACCCTATAGTGAAATGGGAGCTGATGTAAATACAAGCTGTATTTCACTCACATGACAACAATGGCGATGATGATGGTGATGATGATGGTAACAGAACTGAACCAGCTTAGTTAAATTCAGCTCCACAGTCTTTACAGCCAGTTTAGTGAAACACCAAACATCAGATGAGTGAAGTTCTGCAGAGGCCCTGCACAGGGAAGGTAGCTTCTTTCTGGCTGTGGTAACAGGAAGAGAAGGATGAGGAAACCTGCATTGTTGTGGGGGACAATGGCAGAGTGTGGTTTCTCTGGTTCTTCAGATAAAACATGAAAAAAAGCCCAGACCTGATGTTTTGGGGTCAGGAGGTAGGATGCATGGTCATAAATTACACTTAAGATGCTGCCTTCACCATACACACGTACCAGCCATGTTGTACCATAAGTAACTGAAAACAATGACTGGCAATTACTCCCCACCTTTTGTAATGAATATATTCTTTATTTTTCTTATACACATTTCAACATGTTCAATTTATTCTTGTTTATAAGATGCACTTTTTCACAAAGCTTCCATCCAGCACATTCAGAACTTACATTAAAGGGATCAAATGATCTGATCTCACCTCTTTTAAAAAGCTACCTATCAGGAATGCAACACATGGAAACACAGACCATAAACATAAAAAAGAAAGAAAGAAGACACACCAGACTAGCAGCTCTCGATGCTACAAACCTATTTGTACAACAGCATCAGAGCCAGTAGATCAGCCGTACAGCAGATGAGCACAGTAGCGCCAGGTACAACTGAAGCACATTCAGCGTGTAGACGAGCAGCAGCCGCCGCCATAGTGAAACTGTCACAGATACTACACACTCTCTGATGCCTCTGCTTCCATTTAAATAGATTGCACAACCACACAGTGCTTTTACACAAATGGGGTAACACAAATGTAGTGTCATGAGTCGGTGACTATACACAGCCTCCTTATGTTAAACTCACCGTGGTGCAGATGAGGTGATAACACCAGCTATCTGTGAAACTATTCACTGTCCAGCAGCACATGCTGACAGCAGAGATAACTGACCTCAGGCTTACACAATAGCAGGGAGTGGACTGACCACCAGTTGTGACCCCAACCCTCCCTCCCTCTGTGCGGAGCGGCAATGAGCTTTGGCCTGGCAACGTGAGGCTGCTATCGTGGTGTAGAGGTTGTGGTTGATACTAACTGACAGTCAGTAGTCAGCACGTGGAACGGCACCGTTAATGGCAATTCATTGATAAAAATGGCAAAGCAAATGTCCTTTTGTGAGATTTTCAAATTTCAATTTCATCAATCAGGACACAGTTTCCAGCAGGTTCAATACTGAAATGTCAAAAACAGTATAAATGAACAACAAAAGCTGCACAGTTGAACAGGTGGCAAACGTAAAGAGGACAGATTTTACAGTAATGGGATATAAAGTGACACAGGATAACACTGGTGCCGACTAACATTCGGCACCAGCACCTTACGTTTCCTGATGGTGGCAACAGCACAGTTGAGACATAAACCTATCAAGAGATCAGTGTTCTTCCCTTTCTGAGTACACACACACACACACACACACACACGGTGCTGCATTTGCAAAAACAGATATTATGTCAGTGACAATGACAACAATAGAAAGTTAATTCACTACTTTGTAAATACTTATTAAAGTTATTAAGCATAGTATTTTTGCCATGCCAACTGTTTTGCCATGCTGCAGTTAGGGGAACAGTATGTGCGTCTGTATGTGTGTAATGGTGAAAACGTGTGTGTGTGTGTGCGCGTGTGAGTGTGTGTAAGAGAAGAAAGAGTGGCACAAAGTGGGGAGCGAGGACATGCCACGAGGCAGGTCATGTGACAAACACAAGTGTCGCCAGTGTTAAACGACTTCCTCACACGAGCACACGAACACTGAGGAGAGGACAGAGCACAACAACGTTTCCCAGCTACAATCAGGTTAGCGCAGGAGACGAGGAGCAGCACAGCAGCTCACCACTGACATTAAGATTCTAAATACATGATAAGGGTCGTGATCACATCCTGCTGATCCTATTCTTTATCATGCTGATCTTGATCTATCGTCTTTATTTTTCATAATGAGTGATGGATCATGAGAAGTATATTCAGAATCTCACAACAGAGAAATCATCTAGGGGTGAAAAAAATCAACACGAAGACATACTTGTTCTCACACCTGAATTTCATGTGGCCGCGCTGCGCTGACACGTCAATATTTAAAGAATTATTCTTCAACGTTTAATGGAATCAGATTTTATTTTAAAGAGACGGTTCAACATTTTGGGAAAGAGTTAGATACGAAGAGCTATATGTCATGTATGGTAAATATGAAGCGACGGTGAGCAGGCGGTTAGCTTAGCTTAGCACAAAGACTGGAAACAGGGGGAAACAGTTAGCATGGCTCTGTCCAAAGATGATAAAATCCTAACGTTATGTCTCATTTGTTTATCCATACTAAAAAAAAACAACATCTTTGTGCTATGCTAAGCTATCCAGCTGCTGGGTGTAGCTTCATATTTACTGATATTAAACTTCTCGTCTAACACCCAGCGTTTTTCCCAAAATGTAAAACTTGTTCTTTAAGACTTGCCAGGATGACATTAGTAGAGACATGAAGTAGCAGATCATTTCAAGAGGCTGTAAAAAAAGAAAAGAAAAAAGGACTCATGCTCCTCTCCTTAAATCAGTCATGAGCATAAAGCGTCCAAGAAATGTCTTAAAAATAATAAGGCCTTCAGTTGCAGAAACATGATTCATTTCAGTTCAGCTGCGACAATTAAATCCAATAAATGTCTCTTAGCAAAAAACAGAGCTCACAATATCGACTATGGTTTTTCAAGGCCAGCTGCTGTCGTCATTGTAAACTTGAGTTAAGACGAATGTAAAGTGAAACTTTAGCACATGTACTGTGTGAATGTCAAAGTACAGATATTATCACACACTATCTGTGACTCCAACACATTTGGCAACTCTAGCTTCTGGCTATCTGCACAAATATCTGACACAGGAAATCAAAGGAATGAATGTTTTAAATATAGTAAGTTAATGATGCTAAGTGGTCAAGGCGGTTGATGCGGGGAGCGGACAGAGCACGGGGCAGGTGTTGTTGGACTATCAGCTCACCACAGACAGAGGCAGAGTGGGCCTCTATGAGGGAAAAGACAGAAGGCCAGGCATGGGGGGCAGAGAGGGGGTCTAACAGCACCGGTGACGATTATCTCAGCTAGCTGTCCTTTGGTTTGTGCAGCGCGACGTGCGGACAAAGCAGAGCTGGACGAGGCTGGAGTGAAGAGAGAGGAAGAGGTGCGGCACTTTGCTTGGTTGAGGCACAGAGAAGGAGTTGATCTTCATGTAGGAGTATCAGCGTGTGTGTGTGTGTGTGTATGTGTGTGTGTGTGTGTGTGTGGGAAGAAGACAGATGGTTTAGCAAGCACAGCCCCCCTGGCTCTCTGATGGCGAGTCTTTAAGGCCCTGGTTCCTGTGGTTGGATACGAGGTTGATGTCTCCCTCCATGCTCTCATTCATCTTCTCGCAGATGACGTCCACTAGACGCTCAAACACCTGCTTCACGTTGATGTTGTCCTTCGCGCTGGCCTCAAAGAACTGGAAACCTGAGGGCGAGCAAGAGCACACAAGTGGTTTAAGGTGATTTCATTTCATTTAATATCAACTAACAGATGTATACATGTTTTTAAAAAGAAGTACAAAACAACAAATAATACACAGGTGTTACCCAGCTCCTCAGCCAGTCGCTGGCCGTCCTCTGTGGGTACAAGCCTGTCGTCCTCCAGGTCACACTTGTTACCGACAAGGATCACCTGAGCATTGTCCCATGAGTACGTCTTGATCTGCGTCGCCCTGAAGGACAGACACACAGTTGTGTGGTCTACATTATTAAAAGCAGTTAGAATGGATCTGTAAAACAATATATACAATCCAACAAATCACTTTCCTGTATAATCAGCTATTAAATATTACATTTATAAAGTTTCTGTAGTTCCACTGATAGGAAAAAGCCATGGGATTGTGCAGAATGTTTCAGAGTTGGTATGTGAAAATGTCATCTATGTTTAGTTGCACAATGCAAAGATCTGACGACCTTCTACAGGGAAATAGTGTTGAATATCATAAAGCCAATGGAGATATTTTAGGTCCAGATCATTCAAACAAGTGACTTTACAATTGTGGTGAAGTTTGGGTGAAATCTGTAGGAAGTCGGGGAAAGAAGTTAAAAAGTTCTGCAAAAAATGAACAAATGGCAAAACGATATTGAAAGAAATGGACTCGACCTATAAGGAGAGATACGTGAAGGACCAAAGAATCCACTTAGGAGCAGAAGTGCTACACGACTGACCACACGGTGGCGCTATCCAAACTAAAAGGTGGTTAGCTCTTCCTCAGCGCATGGCTCAACTTCATACCCAGTTTCATTTAACTCCTTTTTGAGATAATATTAACGAAAAACACCGATTGGGACAACAGATATAACACCTCGCGGAGTGTGTTTAAACAGGCCCAACTCACCAGTCCTGCACTGCGTTGAAGGAGTCCTGGTTAGTGATGTCATACATGAGCAGGAAGCCCATGGCTCCTCTGTAGTAGGCTGTGGTGATGGTACGGTAGCGCTCTTGTCCTGCTGTATCCTGCATTTACACACACACACACACACACACACACACAGAAAATATATATATATTTTATAATATATTCTTTTTACATTTATCAAAGTCTATAAAACAAAACAAAAAAAAACATTAATTCCCATGTGATCATTCATTATATGATTTGTAACCACAAGGGGGCAATATTGTTCAAACTATGGCCTTTTCCAGTTCAGACTGTACTTAGGTGTGTACAGTCATCTCTCAATCACAGCCTGTTGTGTTCAGGTGTAACAGCTGACTACATTTTTTTTTTCTTTTAAATCAGAATTTATTTTTTTCTAAGCCACTTCACGATCTTTCCACACACTTTCTGACATCTGCAGAAATACAAGTAAGTGCTCTTGTTTGGGAATCACTGATCAAATAAATCACTGGTCATGAGCCAGAAAAGGCAACTATCAATTTTCTCTCAAACATTAATTGAGATAAAACTATTAGTGATGAGAAACTTGTAATGAGGCATTTACAAACTAATCTCAGGTTAGTTTTATGTCTGGTTTAATTTATAGTCTGTAAAGATGTAAAAAGATAGTTATGGACCCTGGGTGCTGTGTAGTGTAAAAGGAGAGGCCAAAATGTGATTGCGCCCACTTGGCTTCATTACCACATCAAAATGCCACTTGCTCCACTCTACACCGTCCACCAGGAGATGGCATTTAGATATGAGCTCCTGCCACAATCGTTTCTCATCAAGCAGGACTTCTGGTTTGTATCAGTCGCCAGGCAGCAAGAAGAAACAGGCAGATAACAGAAATGCAAGAATCGCAGAGTCAGAGAAGGTGTGGCACCCTCCCACCCCCCACCCCCTCCCTCCCTCCTCCTCCTCCTCCATAATGAGTGACCTGTTTATCAGAAGCATCTTCTAATTAAATGGAGGCTGTGTGTGATGTCACAGTCAGCGGCTCAAGATAGTTCAGTGGATGCTCAAAGCAGAAAGATCAAACAGGTAGTCTGAGTCCTTCATTTGCATCACGGACCTGTGTGTGTGTTTGCGTGTTTGTGTGTATGTGTCTGTGTTTGTCTGATGTTTTCCTCACAGTGAAGAGGAGGAGGGGGAGGAGGGGGAGGAGGGGGAGGAGGAGGAGGAATGGGTTGTCCAGGTAACCAGAGGCCATTGAAGGTTATGAATGTTCCATTACAGCCTGGACTGCTCCGGGTGGTCGGCCTGAATGATCCGTCTCACTTTACAAAATGGACAAGACAGAGGGGCAGTGTGCTGCGGAGCTCCTTCCATCAGAGACAGAAGAGATCGAAACTGCCCCCCGCCCCCCCGTATTTTCTTTTATTCTTTCCAAATGCCACAGTCAGAATCTGCTCTCCGTCAGGGTTGCTTTTGTTTAAATAAAGTGTGAAATATTCCAGGTCCATCTTTATCTCATCCATGCAGAGATGATCAAATATTTGGCGGCGTAATGGGACGTCTAACCAAACAGTCTGTCTCCAGGGCGGCTATAATCAACCCCAGCCAGTAAACACAAGCTGCTCCCTCATGTGTATATGTATGGTGATGGACAGGGAGGGGTTTAAATCAGGCCTCTGCATAGTCAGAGACTCTGACGTCACTGGGACCCTGATCTTTAAACATACGTCACCTGTGTTTAATTTAACTGCCAACACAAAGCAGGAGCACACACACACACACACACACTCAGGATATCATCCTCCCCGGGTTACCATACACAACATACGTGTGGCTGCGTTTATGCTAAGTGTGCCAAAGGTGTGTGTGTGTGTGTGTGTTTGATCAGAACATAATTCCATGACACAAAAAGGAGGGAGGTAAACAATATGTGTACATAGTGTGAACACACTGTGCATACGCTTGACTCTATGTATTCACTGTGCAAAGGGCCATGCGGTGTGTTATCAGGCTAGCCCTTTTCCGTGATTCACAAAGGGAAGCTAGCAGCTGGCACGGGATCATCAACAATACTCTTTGTCTGTGGAAGTGGATGAAATCTCTTACAGACGGGAGCTAAGATGAATTTAACAGCCTGAAAATTTCACAAAGTTGATTATTAACACCACATAACGGAGGACAAGCCCGCTGCTCCCACACCCTTTAAATACACGGCTCCAGTAGCACTGCAGTATGTCTTCATTATGTCTCTGTCAGAGGCTGATGGGGAACTTCCTCTGCTTCCTGACCTAAGGAAATACCGGGTCCCTTTGTCCGACAGCACTATCAGTAGTTGAGCCAAGAGCAGGCACAAACAATATGCCCACCGTCTCAAAACCCCTACTGCATCACACACGTCATACAGTCATTACAGTTCATTCTTTCGGCCCTCCTGCTCCACTGTTACAGTGTCACACGAGTCATCTAATAGAGACACATGTTTGGTCAGGTAGGTGAGTGTGTGTTTTGGTGTGGGCTCCTCCGCTGCTGATTCATCTCGGTCACTGTTTGTGTATCATACAGAGGCTCACACACTGTTGGTTCAAATGAATCATCTGTTTGAGCAGCCTCGACAACCAATATCAATAGGATTTGTAGTGCGCTGTGAGGAGTGGGGAGTGGGTGGACAGATATTAAGGCAATACCTTTTAGTACAATGTAAAAGTCCTGCAATGCAAAACCTGAGGTCAGTTTTTATTGAGACTGGCAGAGGTATTGATCCGGCTTGATCTAGGCGTTCCAAGGAAACAGTCAGTCAATCAGAAGAGAGGCTGAGAGACCGACAAATACGTCCTGTTGTTACTAGAGAGAGGCTTTTGCTAGGCAACTTAAAACCACAAATATATCTTCTTATGGATATCAAAACTTAAACAAAAAAGTAACTGAGATAACCCTGTAATTGGTGGAGTTCCACTTTAAATACTGATTATTAAACTGCTAATTAGTATTTACTGTACTTGTATAGTTGCCCTTTTAAATTGTGAATTACAGTAAATAATGCAGTGACGTGCTGCCATGTTGGTCAAAACTTAAAAACTGCCACAGGCAAATTATAATGTAGTTCCACGAATCGTACATTTAAAGCAGCCTTGACGCAGTATTTTTATATGGCTCACATGACTACTTGTATGTGAAAGGAGGCGCTTGTGGTGAATTATCACCTTCAGCTCTGCAGAGCATTTTACTGTCTTTCAGCTCACTGTTTTAGCTTTCCATCCCACAAGTGTCACTGCTTTGGTTCACAGCTGCTGCTCTCATCAGGGCCACTGTGCACTACCTGCTCAGCACCCAACAGCAGACAGACACAGTTAGCAACTAACTGGTAAACACAGTGGAGCATTTAGCCAGATATTTCCCTCAGGAGACCAAACCCAGAGATAAGAAAGAGAGTGATTATTAGAGTCAGTTTCATCAGATAATGAGGATCTGATGTAAGACAGTTTCTCGTTGCCTCTGTGCAAAGAATATTATTATTATTGTTGAGAAATGTCCCCATCAACTCAACTGCAGAAAAGACCTTTTACTAACAGGCAATAAAAGAAACATCAGAAATCAGAAAACTAAATTCTCATCTCTCATCCAGTTCGACGGCTCATCAAGTAAAATAAAACATCGCTGGAAAACAATAACCTCCAACTGGGGTTTGAGGCATCAAATAAAAGACTAGAGACAACTTCACTCCTTTACTTCTTTACACATTTCTGTGAACACTTGGTAGATGCCTGATAAGGGTAAAGAGAAACCATGAGTCGACCGTGAGGAAGTCATCCTTTTTCACTTGCACAATTCGCAGGCTAAACTTGCGCAATGGCCAAAACCACAGTCCCACACAAACTTCATCTTCAAAGGTCTTCTGTCGAGCCTCCTATCAGACATGACGCTGACTGAGAGGGATGTCCTGGTGCCAACAAACATTCCTCGTGGGCTTACTTTCCTATTCTCTACCTCCCTGTTTGTCCTTTATAGCCAAAACAATTAGAGTTCACATAGAGTTGTAGAACAGACTGAGACAGAAGCAAGAAGTAAGAATTAGAAGCCGTGGCTGTAGTTTGGCAGTAAAAAAAAAAAAACCTGTTGTTTATGTTTGCCTTTCACAAAAGGCAGCGTGGTGTCGCAATGTGACACCGCAAATCAAAACCACAACGTATCGCATGTTTAATCTCACTCACCCAGATCTGCAACTTAATCCTCTTGTCGTTGCGGAAGACGGTCTTGACCTTGAAGTCGATGCCCACGGTGCTGACGAAGGCGGAGGTGAAGGAGTCGTCCGCGTAACGGAACAGGAAGGAGGTTTTCCCCACGCTGCTGTTGCCGATGATCAGCAGTTTGAACATGTAGTCGAAGTTCTGGTCGGCCGCATCCTTCTGAGAGGGCTGCTGCTGGAGCCGCGAGTCAGTTGATGCCATCTGGAGAGGGAGAAGAAGAAGAAGAAGAAGAAGAAGAAATGAAGATAATTAAGATAACATGAGGGTGTTTAGTGGATAACGCTTTACCAAAGCAGTCAGTCTCTGAACATGACAAACACTTATTTTTATTTCTTGTTTGATCTGATTGGTGGTTGTATAAAGTGTTAGACAAAGACGAAGGAGTTTTGTGAACCTTCCCTCTATGATGGTGTTGAAAACAATGGCGAAGCTAGTAAGTTAGACCTTGAGCTGAGATTTTTTTTGTCACAAGTTCTGAGGCCAAACGATCCAATATTAAGTCTTAAAACTCAAAGATAGATCTTTTTCCCAGTAAACACACATCTGCGCTAAATGTTAGTGGTTACTTGTCGCGGGTGGTTCCGCTTTGGGCTGCATGAGGTGTAAAATGCCTATTATGTGGAAATGGAGTTTATTACAACGTACATAAAAAAAGGTTATTTTGAGTGAAAAGGTAATACAGGTGATAGCTGGCTACATTAGCAGCCTTGAATTACGACAGTCCCGTGGAACTGTGACATTAGCACTGCAAATTAGAATATTACATGAGTTGCAAAGTGATTTATCTACAACAGAATCAGAGCTTGGCTAGACTGTAGTGAAATCCATCTGTGATGAGAAGAGTCCTGTTACAACTCTATTAATCGAAATGAAAAGGCTAACGCTGAGATAAAGTTCAGAGTAGCTAGCATTTGTGCTTTTAAATTATGGGAAGCTATGCCATCTGCTTCATTATAACCATTCACAGTCAGTGTAATCTCTCATGGGGGGGGACAGGTATGAGATTACCTGCCATTAAGCCTTTTAGTGTCAGTCATCCAAACTGTGGGAGGAGGGAGAGCAGACGCACAGCTCTGGGTATGAAAAGGAGAGCAGAGAGCTATCCCTCTAAATGCACACACACACACACACACACACACACACACAACAAATACACAGCTGATCAATCAGCAATCAGCGCAGCTCAGCTCAGCCCTGTCTCTCTCTCTCTCTCTCTCTCTCTCTCTCTGGAGAGACTCATCTCCGTGGAGACGGGACTAGGACTCAGCTGCCAGCAAGAACCATTAGTGGTCAAAGCAGTCAGTTCACTCAGCTTTTAACTGGCCAGATGGAGGTCTCCAGAGCAGGATAGAGATATCTATCACACTACAACCAGAGAGGAGGAGAGGAGAGGAGGATCATTATTGAGAAATTAGAGAAGCCTGGCTAAATCATTTATTGTTTATACATGTTTATTCTCAAAATAGTGCTGGTGTGTGAGAGTCCAGCTCCTCATTTGTACACTGATAGCTTGTTTTTGTGTGTCTACTTAATAAAAACTATTTAAAAGAACTATTGTTACAGGACTTCATGAATAAGGACACAAAAATATATTGCTGCTGTCTGACGAAAACATTCAAACTCTGACACTTATTGAAAACCTTTAAAGCTGGATCGGGTGATGAAACCTTTACAAGTAACAACTTCAAACTTGTCTTCCCTGGATTTTTCTGTAACACATATTAACTCGCAGTCCACTATAGCATGAAGCAGCCTGTGCAGTCTTGTGTGATGGTTGATGTTGTAATGAAACTGCAGTTTTCTGACGGTGGGAAAATGACACAACACCCTTTCGCAGCTTTACATCACTGCTGAGTCTGAAACCTAGGTGCATTCCCTATAATCACAATCCCCTTTTCACAGAAAATTGTTCTCTGGGTGTTACGTAAAGACCCGCGTTTAAGCTGTAACTCTCAAGTCTTTCTAATCTCTCAAAACATTGGCTGTGAAATCCAAAATCACATGATGCCTGCGCTGCGTTAGGGTCTCCAAGGTACATCTCCGTGTACTTATAGATCCCATACCACACTAAAACTATATTAATTTTTTTTTTCTTTTTGCTCCAACTTTCTCATCAGCTCAGCTTTAAGCCTGAGATAAACCCAGTCACATGTCCTCCAAGTTTACTGTGCAGCTCAGGATTGTCTGCAGGCAAAGTGGGCTCATACAGTCAGCAGACATTTTTTAAATTGTATTATCTTCCCCTTTTTTTTTCAATTAATGTGACATATAAGTGACTAGATGTACAAAGTATTTTCTTGTTACTGTGCTGTGTTGCTTAATTCTGCGGTGTCAACTTCCCTCTGTGTATGTAAACTCCTTAAGACACACAGGATATATTCACAGCAACACAACTGACTGCACTTATAAAACTACTGGTAACACTGTAGAACAACAGCATCAAATTCAAACATCTCAATCTAACAAACCAAGCAGTCAGGTCAGATCACACCGAGCATCTGTGATGACTCTGATAAGGAGCCCCACATCAGCACCTGCTATGATATCAGGGCAGGACAGAGAGGACAGCCGTCCACTGAGTCTGCAGCATGGATGAGAGTGGGAGCTGCTTTATGGCACACTGGAGCTGCATTATCTCCACTAAAACAAATACAGGCTATTGTCGTGAATAGGGCCTGATGATGGTGCATCCAGGTCCCCCAGCTGGCACTGTTTGCTGAGCCAGGAGCCAGCAGGGCTGCCTGACCCACAGGAAATGAGCACCATTGATTAGTTGGCAGCTGTCACATCTGTTCTCTCATCAAGGGAAAGACAGAGACTCAAACACTGATAACCGATTAACTCAAGTTTAATTTCGATATTGGAAAATGGCTGATATTCTAAGACAAATACACTTGTTTTAACTGTGGTAAAAACCCAAACATTAGCCACCACACCGTTGAGGTAAACCTGTTAATGAAAAGGAAACATGTAACTCCACTCGGGGTGAAAGTGTCCATTACCATTAAGGAAATGTGAGGCAGGAAAAAAGAAAAACCGCTGGACTGAAACTTAGACCGACTTACCTTCTTGCGGAAGAAAGCAGACGTCCCACTCGGTTCCCTTTCGACTCTGATATCTCCCGTCCGACACTGAGATGCGTGTGGAACTGTGCTAACAAAGTGCACCTGAAGTATCCCTTCCTGCTCCAGCGACAGCAGCAGCAGCAGCCGGCGACCTCTCCTTCCTCAACAGGCTACTTTTTTTTTTTCCGTGTCGGCGGTCGCGGACTTGAGCAGCTCCCGGATCTAGCTTGTGTATGCGTGTATGCGTGTGTGTGTGTGTGTGTGTGTGTGTACTGAGCTGTCGGTGTGGCTGGAGCTCCTTCTGTGACGGAGTTAATGCGGGCACTGAGTCAGCCGCTGAAAACCTGTGGCGCTGTGTCAGTCTACACAGCTCGAGGAGACAGGGCCGTGCAGGGCGCGTGTGCACGTGAGCGCGCGGGGACCACATCAACCTCATACACCCTAAGGAAACCACTACTGGGACCATAAGTGTGTCCAGGCTATTACGCATGTCATTATTGTCATATTTATTTATTTATTTATTTTTCTTACAATATTCATATATTATCTCTACAGGGTTTTCAGTGATAAAAGTAAAAGTGTAGAAATTGACAACGAGACAAATAAATAATTAATAAAATTACAGTTAGAATAAATAAAATCATTGAGGTCAACTTTAAGTTTTGGTAAAGCATATTCAAAGTGTGTGGGGCACAGTAACAGTAGAAAGCAGATCTTCCTAACTCTGTAGCAAATAGCTTTATAAATAAATAAGAATAAATGCTGGTCCCTCCTCTGATAGAGCAGTGATACCAGGTTTTTGGTACAGTAGGCAATGGTGAGTCCCACAACTATCTCCAGTGATGAATCTTAATGCAGGGTGATATACTGCATCTGATGGTTTGAGTGTGGAACTGGCTGCCGGCCCATACATAACATCCCTGTAATCCAGTACAGAGAGGAAAACTGCTTCAACAATTCCTTTTCTCATAAACAAAGAAAAACTAGATTTATTTCTGCAAAAGAAAACCCAATATCAACCTCAGTCTGGATAACAGCATTTCAATGTGGATAAGTTTTTCATCAACCCAAATGTTTAGACATTAAAAGTATTGCGCTCTCTTTAGTAGAACAAATTTCTAAAACCACCAGTCAATATTTCTTGCATTTGAAAACAACATCTATTTTGTCTTTGCACAGTGTAGAACCAGTTTTCAAGTTATGAAAGTGTCTTTGAAGGAGGTTAAATGATAGCTGTAGAAGGACCACGTCATCTGTATATCTCAATGAAAGTTACAATTGTTTAATGAAGAAATTATATTGTTTATGTAAACAGAGAATAGGGTTGGTCCAAGCACAGAATCCTGGGGAACTCCTTTATTAATGGGGAGAAAAGAGGACTGAATATTACTTATTTTGATAAACTGGGGCCTGTCTGAAAGATAATTCTGACACCACAAGCATCTAGCATTGTCAAAACCCAAAGAAGAAAGTTGTTGTAAGAGCAGAGTATGGTGTCCTACAATATCCCTATCATATCTGTATGTTAAATATGCCACCAGTGGTCGGTTAGCTTAGCTTCGAAGAAACGGGAAAACAGCTAACCTATGTGTCAGTTTCACTTATTTCTCAGCCAGGTGTATAGTAAAGTATAGTAAGGTGTCTAGTAAATTCCAGGAGTCTCTATTGGACTCAATTTATAGACACACTGTTAAGCAGAAAGCTAAAGCCGCACATTCCTTTAATTTTAGGGGCCAAATCCCTCACAAGGACCTCAATGAGTTCGCTGGTAGCAAGACACAGGCAGGTGGAGCGCACAAGGCAAAGTTCAAGTAAATAAAGTGTGACTTGGAAGGGTTGGAAAAATTTCTCTGCAGAAATCCATCAGATATTCACTGTCGCTAAATTAAATTTGAGCGTTATCATTTTTGTAAGAATCAATATAGTTCAGACACAGATCTGTATCACTGTGAACCAAAATAGCAACAACAGTGGACTTCCACAGTAAAGAGCATTGACAGCTCAGTGGATCTGCCCCACTCACTGCCAAGCTCAGGAAATGTCAGCGGCTCCTGGTGGCCTCACCTTTTTTCCGTGTGTTTCTACCCTCACAGTGACGACAAGACTGCAGGAATTGACTGCGCCTGCCCAAGAAATAGTCCGTAAAACCACACAGTAGCAGTAGCCAGTAGTCAGTATCCTTATATTTACTGTACAGACATGAGTGTAGTATCAGTCTTCTCCTTTCACTATTGATAAGTTAGCGTATAAGTCTATTATATGACAATAAGTCAGCTGGAACACACACACAAAACACTATCAATTAAACCACAAAACTTCAACCACAATTAAACTACAAAACCTCTATTGGGACTTTAAAGTACATTTGACAAAATTCAGTATTTTTCTCTCCTATGATGTTATGTTCAAAGACCTCTGAATTTCTGAGAGGGAGTGGGACTCACACTGAGTTTATGGAAGCCTTCAGTGCTCCCTCTTGGTATCATCATGAGTTTTGATGGTTTTGTTTTTCTGGTAAGCATAACAGACGTTCATAATCATTAACTAAAGCAGAGGTGTGTGTGTGTGTGTGTGTGTGTGTGGGGGGGGGGGGGGGGGGGTTAATGTTTGTATCAAACTGTGCAGCCCTATCCTTTGATAAATTGTGCGTTCTATTAGGATCTCAGTGTTTTTATGCTGCATAGGTGCATATCCATCACCGAGATCAGACAGTTGCAAATTAGGTCTACATTTCCACATTAAAGATGATTGAATAAAGCCTTGCACAGACTCATAAATAATTGAACACACTGTATTACTGCTGGGCTGCTCTGCAGTATCACTACAGGTCCAAATAATGGACTCGCAGCCGCCGACATTTACAGTGTGTTTGCTGCAGTGACTTTCTTTCTGTTACACACATATATTCATTTCCTTGTGCGGGGTCAGGAATGAGGGAGGATGGTGGAACTTGTCTGCTGTTTCCTTTTGTTTCCCTACTTCCTCATGTTTTAGTCTGAGCAGCCAGAGGTGAGGAAATTTTAAACAGCATAGATTTTCTTCACGGTCTTCATGTCCGTGTTTGACTGATCTGAATAAACTCCTCATTCCTACATGCAGATTGTTTTTGGAGGGTTTTACTGAGTTATTCTCACCAACTGTCCTGTCACCTCTCAAACTGTATCAGGGATATGAACCGTTCACTTGGAATCTCTCTCTCCCTTGCCATGAAGAGATGAGTGGATAAACTCGCTCTCTGGTTAAACAAGGTTTGTTTCCTGATGCCACTGCAACGGGCGACCTGACAGGACAGCAAAAGACATTCCTCAAATGATTCAGAATGTGTGGTCGGCCTTTTTCCTCAAGTCACTCAGTCATCCACTTGAACTAACTTCCTTGTACATTCTCAGTGAATGTACAAGGAACTCAACTGAAAACGAGGCACGTTAACACAATGTCAGCAAGCCGAAAGAAAGTGTGTTTGGAGGTTAAGTATGTATGTTGATACCATGCTGTATTTGTATAAGCTAGAAAGCAAGAAAATTAAAAACCTGATCACAGCTGAGGGAGGGAAACATCTTAAAAAAGGGCCAGCATGAATTGCATTGGGAAAACCTCATCCCTTTACTTTTAGTCCCTGCATCTTATATTGAAATGATTCCATTATGATCCATTAGTGCCGACGTAGTAGCTGTAATATGGACAGTGCCTCTCTCATCCTGTAGCTGGCCAGAAAACACTGTTCTCTGCATTCAAGGCTGCTCCTCTCAAAATCCAACATGCGTCACCGGTAATTGAATTAAAAAACTGTTTATTCCAAATCCAGGCGCTGTCTGTTGGGTCTGCGTTCACTCATCAGTGTGTTTCTTTCCCTAACCAATCCAATAAAACAAGTGTTTGTTTTTAGGGCATAAAGATCATGAGACGGCAAAACAGAAAGACACGTAGCACCAGATCAACAGAGATATCAGTGGACGCACTCGTAAGAATCAAACAGCACGCTGTTAAATCTCACAATCAGTGTTAATTCACCATTGTTGAAGTTAAAACACATTTCCATCACAATATCTGGAACACAACATTTAACAACCATACAAACAAATGTAACGCTGTGTGTTATGCCGGGCTCAGCAATGGAGATACAAACTTTCCTTGAAAACACCAGTGTCTTAACATCGCCCCCTGCTGGGGATGCACACAGCACCCGAGGTGTGCTCATTCACTTTTCCCTGTGTTTTTAAAGGAAATGCAGTTGTTAACAGGGGGTGACATCATCCGTAATAAAGTCAAATATTAAAAGAAGGTATATAAAAATGCAAAAATACATCTTATTTTGTGACATAGCATTAATTAGTTACTGATTGACAGGATGAAAAGTGCTTAACTGGCAGATTCAAGTGAACAACAGTAGTGAGCTCGGTGGCAAAGGCCTCCTCACTCATAAGGACACTTGGGACAGCTCCAGCTCCACCAGTGGCTCCGACAGCGATGCAAAATTCTGTCTAATTAAGTTTAACTCAAGTCCGTACTGTCCTTCCAGATTCATCAAACATCATTTCTACCTTATCATATGAAATACTGTGATGACTGCAGAAAAAGACTGAGACATTTTTCATAAATTGAAGCCTGAATCCTGCTCCTCTCTAAATGGTGGATAAATTCAAGGCTGTGTAGATCAGATTCACTGTGGTGCAGATGAAGCCTATCAGGTTGCAGAGGTTGGACAAGCCGTGGTAGCGGCCAAAGGTTCTCTTGTATGCTCTGTACTTGGGGTCCTGCTCTTTGAGCTTGGCGTACGCCTCTTTCTGGCTGCCCAGGCCTATCTGGTTCCCCAGGCCGTGCTCCTTCTCCACCTCCCTCATCTCGAACATGACCTCTGTGGCCGCCGGGCCGAACCACTGGGCGTTCAGACCTGCCATGATCAGCGCCACAAAGTACAGAACCATCTGCAAGATAAAAATAAAAAAAAATTACTTTACTGGAAAGAAACATTATGATGATTTACTTTTAAATATTCTGATTTAAATATATACATGTCTGTCTAAGACATATGTGTATTTTTGTTAGTGTGCGTATGTGCAAGTGTGATGTTCAACCTGCACACTTTCATGCCAGTCCAGCAGCTCTCTGGGGTGGTACACAGCGTACACAGCCAGGCTGACAAAGTTGCTACCCAGCAGACAGTAGAAGTATACAGGGAAGAGTTTACTCTGCACCAGGCCAAAGGTGTGCAACGTTACCTGCCACACCAGCGCAAAGCCTGCAGGCACAAACACCGAGGT